AGACAGAGACAGAGATAGAGAGAGAGAAAGAGAGCGTGAGAGAGAGAGACAGAGAGACAGAGATAGAGAGAAAGAGAGTGAGAGAGAGAGAGAGAGAGAGAGAGAGAGAGAGAGGAGAGAGAGAGTTGTACACACGTGTGCACTATCCAGGCTCTTGATATACGGGGAGTACTGCAGCCACATGGAACACGCCCAGAACACGCTGAACCAGCTCCTCGCCAGCCGGGAGGACTTCAGGCTGAAAGTCGAGGTAACGGGGACTTCCCAGCCTGTCCCCCAGCCTGTCCCCCAGCCCATCCCCTGGCCTGTGCCTCTGAGGCTGGAGCTTGCTGGTCTCTTGTTTGCCAGTTTTGTGGGACGGTGGGGACAGGGTTAGTGATGTGACTTTTGTGTCAATGTTTTTAGCAGGTGATTTTTTTTTTCTCCTTTGCATTTTGTTGGGGTGGGGAGTGAGTAGGTGGAGGTCACCGTCCCAGGCCAGACCACAGCCTGAGTCCCCTGGGTGCGGTTGAGGCAGACCCCAAGGACCAGATCTCACTCTGTGAGGCGCTATGCCTGACCCCTGACCCTGGCCTGTGCAGACCCCACGAGGGCCCCAGGTGACACATTTGCTGGGAGCCTCCCGCCGCTCTCCCGTCCTCACCCTGGGCTCAGGGCCAGGCTCTGGCACTTGCTGAGTTTTCCACATGAGCCCCTGTCCTATTTCCCTTAATTGGGGTTAGCTGGGCTGCTCCCAGGCTGGCGTTCCCGGTTTCCAGAGTGGATCCTGGTGCAGGGTCCCTTTGCTCTAGCAGTGCTGGGGGTGCCCCTTGGAGATGCAGGTTGCCCCCGTGTGTCCAGGCAACAGTGGGGAGCCCCTGGTTCCTGCAGGTGGCTCCCCTTAGGGAGCAGGCTGCCCCGAGGGTCTTGAGGCGGGCCTGGCAAGCGCTAGCCCCGGAATCACGCGGCTATTGCGGACCCTTGAGGATGTGAGGGGCGGCTGGCCCCACACCTGGTTTGGGAAGGGTTCCGGGAGCCGGGTCAGAGAAGGACCAGACACCTGGGCCCCAGTTCCAGCCTTAGGTCTGCCCCCTCCCAGGCCGGGGTATGGGAGTGTTGGGGTCCAGCACCCCCAGGCCAGGACTCTTCATCAACTCGCTGCCCCCTGACGCCCAGGAATGCACACTGAAGGTCCAGGATGGGAAGTTCAAGCTGCAGGACCTGCTGGTGGTGCCCATGCAGAGGGTGCTCAAGTACCACCTCCTTCTGAAGGTGAGACCCCCACTCTCGGCCTCTGCGGGCTGGATTAGGGCCTGGCAGCCTCCCCGGGCATGGACTGGAGCCCCGGACAGGCCAGGACGAGACATAAACAAGCAGACAGTTAAGACAGCCGGGGTTTGGTGCATAAAAACTGCACTGTATGTTGGGAACTGCGCTCTCTCTCTCTATATCTGTATCTATCTGTATCTGTATCTATATCTCACAGTAAATATACAAAGGAAAATTGTGGTTAAAACGGGTAAGAGCAGAAAAAGTGAATGAGATGGAAAAGCGTCCTCAGACCAGGAGTAAGAGACTCCTGTGGTTGGCTCGTAACCTGGCCCCTGAGCTGCCTGGCAGCCATGGCGGAAATAGGAGGTCCTTCTGGACAGACAGACCTGGGGGAGAGACCGTGTTTCTGGGAGGTGCTGAGTGAGCTTCGTCCATGAATCAACAGCCACCTGTTAGCTCGGCACCTTGCTTTGTGCTGCCTAAGGGCCCTGCCGTTACCCACAAGACGTAGCGACACCTTTTTCTTGAAGTAGCGTGTCACCTGGGTGAGGGCTGCCCGTCTGTCTGCTGGGGTCGGGCAGCTGAACCCGACCCTGGGCCAGCGGGCGGGGGCTCTGTCCAGGGGGCCTCATGCTGCATACACCCCGTGCCGGGTGGGGGCGAGGACAGAGGCCCCAACCCCCGCGTGGTGACCCACAGCTCCCCCCTCTCACCTCCAGGAACTTCTGAGCCACTCCACCGACCGGCCGGAGAGGCAGCAGCTGAAAGAGGCACTGGAAGCCATGCAGGTGGGTAAACTGAGGCAGGGGAGAGGCGGACCAGCCTGGGGCGTAACCAGCACACGTCCTTAGACTGGAATTGGGCTCATTAACAAGCCTCGCTCTGGGACCATAGACACACATTTTCCTGGGACAGCAAGAGACAGAGCAGAGGGCAGGGTGGTGGGTGAGGCCCACCCAGGGGCAGAGGGGTCAGGTGGAGGGGGCGACAGGCCAGATGCTCACCCCAAGTGTCCCATCCCTCACCTCGCCTGGTCCCCAGTGACGCCCTTGGGCCCGCCTTCTCCCTGCTTTCCTGACTGTCTGCTGAGGCCATCACCGGTTCCCAGGCACTGGACTCGGTTCTGGGCCATCTGGCCCCATGCAGCCCACGGCCCAGCCCTGTGGCTTCTGTTTCTGAAATGCCCACCCCACCCAGCCATGCCGCCTCTCCCCTCCACCCCACCCAGCCATGCCACCTCTCCCCTCCTCGCTCTGTCTGTGGAAGCCCACTGTGCAGGCACCCCTCCTGATGGAGAGGTCAGCTCAAGTCACGCCCCTGGTCGGAAACCCCCTGTGGCTCCCTACTGCCCCCGAGTCAGGCGCCCCTTCACCCTGGCTGTGTTTACCACAATGCTCCAAATTCCAGGCAAGCGAGGCCACTCCCAGGCCCCTGGATACACGCCATCCTTTCCTACTTCTGAGTGTTGGCTCCTTGTCACCTGGCTGCACCTCGCGCTTTCTGCCTTTGCAAAGCGACATTTCCCGGGAGGAGTGCCCCACTCCGGGTTTCTGGTCCCCCAGTGCTCTGTGGTCTGTGCTGAGAGAGCTCTGAGCAGCCTTATGCTTGTGGAGAACTTCACGCCATGTCATGTGTGACCTGTGGCCTGTGCCACCGAGGCTGGCGTGGTTGGACACCTTGCCGCCTTTTAACGTTTCTGCCTCAGGATCTCAGATTCTGCCCCGCCAGTGGGCTCCCTGTAGGAATGGGCGGGGGGCACTGGAGGAAGGCTGGAACCAGCTCCCACCTTGCCCCAGCGATCCCACAAAGGCAGCCCATCCCCCTGCTGGGCAGAGTCAGTGCCGCCTGTGTGGGTTCTTCAGAGGAGAGCTGGGTCCCCTGGCTCCCAGGTGGTACTGGGTGACCAGTCCAGCCACTCTGCCCTCTGGATTGCAGCGGGCACTGCCCCCTGGTGGCCAGCAGGAGGCTGCAGTGTGGACACCCGGACAAGCCGGTGGTCGGTGGGTATCCACTTCCCAGAGCTGAGAAGCAGGCTGGTCCAAGTCTAGTTGGCTGTTTTTCTTCTACTCTAACCTGTAAGATCAGGTGGCAGGAGTCTGGGGTTCTTGGCCCGCCGATTGGGGTATGGTTTGGGGTTCGTTTTACCTTTTCTGACTTAGTTTATTTGTCAAGTGGGGGTGACACGTCTCACCCCTTGTCGTTTTGAGGGCTGGCCAGCCACCTGTGGTGGATGGACGGCGGAAGGTGCTTGGAAAATGCCCAGTCCTGGGCAGATGTGAGGCGGGCGTGGGGGCTGAGCCTTCCTCGCCCCGCCCAGCACCAGCCTGCTAACCCCGCCCCACCCTTGTTGTTTTCAAGGACTTGGCGATGTACATAAATGAAGTTAAACGGGACAAGGAGACCCTGAAGAAGATCAGCGAGTTTCAGAGTTCTATAGAGAACTTGGTAAGTGAGAAGATGAGCGAGGACCGCCTATACCTGTTTTAGAAATTGTTCTTTCATGATCTCAGCATCAAATCAGCGGAGGCGTGAACACACACTCTGTCCAGCCAGGTCGTGGGCGCACGTGCAGCTACCCCAAGTGCCCTGTGCACGCAGGCTGCCCGCCCCCCCCCACCCCCCCTCCCTGGCCTGGACGGAGGACTCTCTTGGGTCCAAGAGGAGGACATGGCTCCCAGGGGATCTGAGGCCCCTTCTGGTCCTGCACCCCTGGCCCACCCTCATCCCCACCTCCCTAAGAAGCACGATGCGGAGGGTTTGCCCACCCTGCCCAGGAGCTGCCCTCGGGTTCTCCCCTTCCCTCGGCCTCCATCAGGCAGGGCTGATACCTCACGGGACCCTCTCCCTAGCCTGGTCCGTCAGAGGCTCATCCTTGGGGCATTGGGTGAACCAGCGTGTCCTGCGGGCCGAAGACCCGGGTCATCCAGGAAGCAGACACTTCCCCGCTCATGCCAGCCAGCACCAATGTCCTGCAGACCTGCCAGCTGTTTAAGCCGGGGTTTCTCAATCTCAGCTCTGCACATTTGGCTCTGGACCATTCCGCTGTGGGTCTGCCCTGTGCATTGTAGGATGGTGAGCAGTACCCCTGGTCTCTGCCAGGGGCACCCCCATATTTGGGGGTCCCAAGTGATGATGACCAAATGTATGTCCAGACATCGCGAGATGTCCCCTGGGTACAGACTCACTTCTGATTGAGAGCTGCTGGCTTATACCCAGACATTTTCACTCTGTGGTACCTGAACTTGGCTGGGTCCTGGTGAGTCTCTGTCAAGGTCAAATCAACACAGAAGTTTTTGCAAAGGAAGCTCCTGGATGCCTCGACCCACACCTGGGGCCCGTTTGCCCATTCCTCACCCACCAGGCTCGGAAGAGCCCAAAGAGGTCGCCTCTGCAGACATGTGGCCTGGAAACCGCTCGCGATGTGTCGTCAAGTGAAGGAAAAAAGTTCCCAGACAGCATTCGGATACACCCCCCAAGTGCAGAGGCGGTTAAGGGTGGGCGTGCCCCAGAGTGTTAGGGTGGTGTGAGTGCCCGGCAGGGCCCGGTCGGGTTTCCTCTCGCTGATCGTCGATGTTTTCTAGATACCATATGATGGACGGGCATTGCTTTTGTAGCACGAAGGCATCTGGGGGAATTTTAAGAACACTTTTACATATGAGTAATACTTGTTCCTGAAATAACAAAAACAGAACAACGACGATGAACAGGTGTGGAGCGTTCCTGCGGGCCAGGCCGTGCTCAGCTGTTTTCTCCCGGACCCCACCACCCAGGTGGAGGTAGTACTTTCGTTGCTGTCACTTTAGAGGTGAGACATGGAGGCCCGGAGGGAGTCGCTAAGCAGAGGGCCCATCCAGCCCTGTGTGACACCAAAGCTGTGCTCTGAGTCTGGCCCTGGAAACTTCTGGAAAATTCAGCGAACTCAGGAGAAGATGCTGAGAACGTCCATCAGAGCTCCACGCGGCACGGCCTGCTTAGCATCTTGGCACGTCCCTGCTGCCTTTCCTGTCTGCATAGGTCACACAGGAACCTATCAAGACACTGTCAGTCTGCATCAAAGCTGAGGAGCCGAGATACAAACCAAACGGAAAATGAAAATGAAATCTCAGCAAACCAGAGAGCGGGTTTGATGGGAAACCTCTTCCTGTGGAAGATGAACTGTTGGCAGGACCCCGCGCCCCGCCCCCCGCTCCCCCCACATCTGATAAGCGCTGTTTGTTCCCTTTAATTTGGTTTCTCAGGGCTGGGCATCTGGCTTTTCCTACCAGTCCCTGCTCTGGACACCACACCGCACTGGCCTGTTAACATAACCCCACCGTGAATCGCTCTTTGTTCACGCGGAGCTGTGGGGAGTCCTCGGTGGGGTGGGAGGGGGGACAGGAGCCTCCAGGCCAGTTCCTCCCCCATCTCCTGCTCCCGCCTTGTTCTGAGCACCAGCCAGGATCCACTGGGTTCATCTAATTTGGTTTCCTCCTTTGGGTTCTGGGGAAGTGTGTCCTTGGGTGTCTGCCTGCTTGGCGCTTTCTCCCAATGTAAGTGCTGCTTTGGCACGGGGGCTAACGCCGTTCCCCTGTCTTCCCTAGCAAGTGAAACTGGAGGAATATGGGAGGCCAAAGATTGATGGGGAGCTGAAGGTCCGGTCCATAGTCAACCACACCAAGCAGGACAGGTGAGCGGAACGGCAGCCCCGGCCGGCGGCATCCAGCAGCCGGGCACCCTGCTCCCCACACACCTGGGAATAGCTTTTCCTGTGGAAAGAGCTGCCCGCCCACTCGGCATTGTGTTGGCTCTGTTTTAATTGCTTCCTTCCTTCTCGGTAAGAGCGTCGGTGAGCCATGCCTGCCAGTGGCTGCCATGGCCGTGGAGCTGTGCTGCCCGTGGCCGACACCAGGCTGGGCTGGGGGGCAGCCAGACGCCCTGGCTGGTGAGCTCACAGGCTCACTGGAGCTGGACAGAGAGAACGGCTGCCAGCTGACCCAGGGAGTGCCTAGGCGGGGGATGGGGACAGCTCCAACTGAGCTGGCGTGCCTGCAGTTGTTCATTCTCCACGCGCACCTACTGTGTGCAGTGCCTGGGGACATGTCCGGGGTCACAGAGGATATGGGCCCGTCCCCCAGGGCTCCCTGGATGGAGCTTGGAGTGGGGGAGCCGTGGGGGCAGGAAGCCAAGGAGGGCTTCCTGGAGGAGGTGCATCAGAGCAGCCGAGACCTGGCTGAGGGTCAGTGTTGGCGGGAGGCAGAGGGCAGAGCTTGGGCTCCGAGGGGGTGCCGCCTCCCTGTGCCCGCCACAGGGGCACGTGGCTATCCATGGCCCGGGAGCGCAGTGCTCTGGCCGTGCTGACGGGCCCCTGGCCGTGCTGTCGGGCCAGGTACTTGTTCCTGTTTGATAAGGCGGTCATCGTCTGCAAGAGAAAGGGCTACAGCTACGAGCTGAAGGAGACCATCGAGCTGCTGTTCCACAAGATGACCGACGACCCCATGAACAACAAGGACGTCAAGAAGGTGGGCCCCGGGCTTCCTGCTGGTGTCGGCGGGGCCTGCTGAGGCTGAGCCGTGCCAGGCAAGGGGCAGGTGGCAACCCACCCCCCCAGCTGACGGAGCCGTCGTGGGGTGGCCTCTGGAAGCCAGCCCTGACCCTGACCAGGGGGGCTGCAGTGGGGACAGGGGCTTCCCTTCTTGGTCAGCCTCTTGATAATGTGACTTAAGCAGAAGGCATGCCGGCTCTGTGCTGGGCCCAGCATTTCCCGGCCTTGTATTTTTTAAATCTTTCCTGGGAGCGGGCACAGTTGGGATCATAGCTCCCCAGTGAGGAGGCTGAGCAGAGGAGCCCAGCCACGGCCTCGGCCTCGGGTGAGAGCCAGGCCTTAGACCTTGGTGGCCTGACTCCAGCCCACATTCCCCCTGCAGCAGGCAGGCTTTCCTGCCCCTCCCCACTCCTGCCTCCTTTGACAGACTGCTGTCCAGCCAATGGGCCCTGGCTGCTGGGGGTGGGGCCATGGCTGCTGGGATGGAATTGCCACACCCTCTGGTTCAGTCCTGCTTCAGCAGAGGCTTTTATACCTAGAGCTTGAGCACCTACTGTGCGCAGCTCTGGGCTAGGTGTGAGGGCCAGGAGCCAGTGTGCCAAAAATCCTAGACCCTCAACTTAGGAGCTTACAGTGTAGGCTGCAGGCGCCACCTGGAGGAGCTATTGGGGGTGACCCACCTAACCCAGATGTCCTAAACAAGCTACTGGGGCCCCCGAGGTGGTGACCTGAGGCCACTCCCCCGACTCTGGACTGAAAACGCAGCCCCTGGGCCCCAGCCCCTTCTCTTCTGGGAGGAAGGCTCTCTGGTTGCCCCACTGCAGGGCATTTGGTAGTGGTCAGTGTCCTCTGCTGCAGCACCCACCTCAGGGCTGGGCCGAGCCCCGTAACAACCTCATCTCCCCTTTTCCTTTCCTCTCCTCATGCTTCCTAGTCTCACGGGAAAATGGTAAGCACCTGGCGTCTCGTCTCAGTGCCTTCCTCACCTCAGGGCCCAATGCCAGCACGTCCTTCCTGAGCCGGGAGTGGGTCCTGGGGGCCCCGGTGGGTCTGAGCGGGGGGCCAGCCCATGCTTTCTCCCCCCTCCTCCTCCCCTGGTTTCGTAACTGTGACGACGACGTGTGTGTGACAGATTTGCCTGTTACAGGAGAGTGGGAAGTGAAGGCCTCACCCCCTGCTCGGCCTCCAGCCCCTCCACTGCCTAGAGACCAAGGGCCACGTGTCGTTTCTCGGCCTGCCGGTGTTCTTCCTACTGTGTCACCCCCACCTTTGCTCTGCTCTCTCCATCTCTCCCTCCCTTCCTCTCTTCTCCCTCCTTCTCTTCCTTTCCCTGCACCTTTTCTAACAAATGGGCTCAGACTTTCTAAGCTTCTTCCTGGGCCCCTTCGAAAGCCCCGGAGCTGGCCAGTCCCGGTGGGTGGCCAGGGGTGGCACCACTGTGGCCACTTTGCTGTGGGCTCCCCAGGCCACGGCCTTCCCCTGCCTTTATTTTATTTTTCCTGTTGTTTTACTTCAGAGACGTAAGATTTTTTAGCATCACATTTAGGAATTGAAAGTGAGTGGGCTGGTGTCGTGGAAGGGCCCCGGGCGAGTTCCTGAACATGGGCTCCCTGGGGACCCAGCTCAGTCACTAGGGACGGCCCCCGTTGAACCAGTGGAGTTCAGTTATAGGAGAGGGGTCTCAGGACATCCTGTTAGAGGGGTTTGCACATGCATACACACACACGTGTGCATACAGACATGCACATACACGAGTGCACTGTACACAGGCATGCACACACACGTGCACACACAGGCATGAATATGCAAATGCAAATGTCCGTGTGCCCAGAGCCCTGCCAGCTATTTGCAAGCGTGTCCCGTTTCCTCCCACAGTGGTCCTACGGCTTCTATCTAATTCACCTGCAAGGAAAGCAGGGCTTCCAGTTCTTCTGCAAGACAGAAGACATGAAGAGGAAGTGGATGGAGCAGTTTGAGATGGCCATGTGAGTACAAGGATGGCAGCAGTGTGGGGGTTGGAAGCCCCAGCGGGATTTGGTCCAGGGACCCTCTCCGAGGAGGGCTGGGCAGACACCCAGCGACTGAGATGGGCCCCATCAGCCCATCACCACCTTGGTGTCATCTTAGCTATTTCACAATCTGTGCGGACAGGAGGGCCCTCCCTGCCACGTCTATCCCAGGCAGTTCAGGTAGCTGCTGCCCTGAGGCTCGGCCTGTCCGGCAGAGCAGGGAATGGCCTGGTTGTGGTGCCACAGACTCAGGGTGACCCGGATCCCCAGGGCCTTCCAGGCTGGTGGATTGTCACCTCTCTGAAGCCACAGAGCTGTTTATCCATGAAATCTAGGAGGAGCCCCAATATGTCCACCAGAGAAAGGTGATCGGTGGGGTCCCCAGAAATGTCAGATCTGGAGCGAGAGTGGCATGGCCTCTGTGTCGTCAGGCTCTGCGCTCACCTGCCTGGCCTTTTCCTCCTGTGAAATGGAGATGAAGAGCGCCCAGGTTATGGGATTTGGGGGACAGCCATCTCCATATCTGCCCCTCGGTTCCCAGGGGTTATAGTTTTCTCCTCAACATTCTCTTAAGAAAACTTGCTAGTATTCACCAAATTGAAAGAGCGTTACGGTAAACACACTCAGACTCCACCATTAACGCCTGGCCCTGCTTTCTTTTTTTTTTTTCTCTCTATAATGTCTGTTTTATTTATTTATTTATTTTAAATTATTTTTTATTATGAAATACACATTTTTTAGAATTAGCTTCAGCTGTACAACACAGTACAATAGTTATACTTTTTACCCCTCGAAGTGTGGCCCTGCTTTCTTTGTCACATCCCACCCCACCCGGCCTTCGTGCCATCTGATGGTGACTGTATTTATTTCTAAGTGAATTGCAGGTGTCAGGGCACATCCCCCTGAATACTTCAGGGTGCCTTTCGTGAACTCGAGTTCACTGTTTAGGTTTTCTCGCTTCTAGCCTGTAGACAGTCAAGTCTTAAGTGCACATCTGCTGAGTCTTGACACGCGCCTGCGCCCGCCCACACCCGCCCCACCCGGACCCTCGTCAAGACACAGCCCCAGGAGCTCTCTCACATCAGTGCAGACCCTCATTCTAGCCGGGTGTCGGGCAGATCCAGGCTGAGTCCTGGCCACCTGCGCCCGCCCCAGCCTATTCCTGAGCCCGGCTGGTTTGGGGCTCGGAGAGTCTGACACCCTCTTTCCCTCCCGTCAGGTCAAACATCAAGCCTGACAAAGCCAACGCCAACCACCACAGCTTCCAGATGTACACGTTCGACAAGACCACCAACTGCAGAGCCTGCAGGATGTTCCTCAGGTGGGGGCTTCCTGCCCCAGCTCCACCCCTTCCACACCCTCCAGCCTCTCCCACACCCCCCACACCCCCCCTGTCCCCAAGGGAGCCAAGTGCTGCAGGCACCCTGTGTCCCCCATCGCCACTGACCACCCCCCTCCGGCTGCCCTGGGCTGGGCCCCTCAGTGTCAAACCCACCCTGGAGGGGAGGTGGCTGTCCCTGTAGGTGCCCAGGGCCCGCTGTGTGGGGCAGCAGAGCAAGGCCAGGGCTGTCCTTGGGGAGAGCTACACCAGGCTGCACGTTAGGGCGGGGGTCCTGGAGGCCCCGGGCTTCGAGGAATGGGTGCTCTCTCTCTGGGGCAGGTGGTAAGGCGACCCTGGTAGTCTTGGGCCCTGCCCATGGCTAGCGTAGCGTCCGTCTCACCTTGGCCCTCCCTGGTGCAGGGGCACCTTCTACCAGGGGTACCTGTGCACCAAGTGTGGCGTCGGGGCGCACAAGGAGTGTCTGGAAGTGACGCCTCCCTGCAAGATCAGTGAGTACCGCCTTGCCCTGCCCATGGGACACAGGCCTTGGAGGCTGGTCCTCGCGGCCACACAACGGTCCCTAGCTAAGGGTCCCATTGCTCACACCACCTTTTGCCACCCTCCTGGCCCTGGCTGTGTTCGTACATTTTCTTTTTTTATCGTGGTGACTCCATGGGACAGGGATCAGATGAGGAAACAGGCTCAGAGAGGGGAGGACACCTGCCCTGGGTCACACAGTGTCAAGGGGCCAGATGGGCTGGCGGTTTCGTGCCAAACCCTCCCTCCTAACTGCCACCCTCAAGGGCTTGTCTCTGCCTCCTCCACATCCGCTGCCCATTCCAGTTGTGAACTTAGAATCTATCCCAAACGGGCGCAGAACAGTCTTGTCAGTTGCATGGAGGTTTCTGATCGCAGAGACACCCCTCACCCCCGGTTCTCCCGCACCCAGGGAGCCCTGGCCCCCTCTAGCTACAGCTATGTCAGCAGATGGCTCACGTGCACGCATGCGCACAGCACTTACGCGCACCCATCTCCTTGTGCCCATTTGTCAGAAAGCAAAGCCTGAGGCTGCGGGGAAGGGGCTTGAGCCTGCCTGGCTGGCACCCAGGCTGCTGAGGATCCTCTGAAACATCTTGGTTTGGGGAATGCCTTGGAGGGGGATGGTGTCCAGCCAGAGCACCTAGACGGGCAGCTGAAAAGCCTGAGATGGTTCTGGAAGGGTTCAGGGCAGGAAATGGCTGAGTGCTGGGTCTGGTGGGAAATAGCCCCCGAGGCTTCATTCTGAAGCACGAGGGTCAGCTCTGCTCCCCGTGCATCATGTGGGGACCCAGACCCCCCCACATCCCTGTGAGACGGTGCTGTCTAATTGCGGTCCCCACGTGGGAAGGTGCGCCAAGAGGCGGTTCACTCGCGCCAGGAAGGCAGAAAAGCACATCGGGCCTGCTTGTCACCCTGACGCCACCTCCAAGAATAGAAGGTTCTGTCAGTTCCCCGTTGACTGGGAATGCTGGCCCAGCACCCTGATCAGGGAGGAGGCTCCCACAGGTCAGCCCAGACCCCCCGTCCTCGCCACAGGCCCCTTGCAGCCCAGTCCTGGCTAGACGACAGCCGGCGCCCATTGGCCCAACTTGGCTTCTGAGCTTTGCCCATCAATACTGCCCTCTTGTGGCCACATGTCCCTCACACTGGGCCACTAGACAGTTTGTTTCTTTTGGCATTGTTTGTTCTGATCCTAAAAGTAACATACTTACTTATCAAAAATTTGGAGAAAAAAAAAAGAGAGAAGAAATGAAACAAAGAAGAAAATAAGTATCACCCATGAATTTATTAAGAGAGAACTGAAGGTAATATTTTGGTATATTTCTTTTTTAAATGGTGTTTCTGCTACCTCACCCCCACCCCTAATTATTAAATACCATTGCCCGTAGAAAATTTAGAAAATGTAGAGCAGAGCAAAAGGGATGAAAAACACTTGCCATCGGCCAACACACGCCCTTCCTTCTTTTTTGCAGACGCACACGCCCACCCACCCAGTCTCTTTGTTTTTGTGGTTTTCATTATGTATGCAACTGGGATCGTTCCAGATGGACAGCTTCATATCTTTTGAAAGCTAGTTATGAGCATCCTCCCATATCATTAAAGCCCATGGTGGGCATTTGGTTTTATTTTAAGGAGCCTGTGGTTCCCTTTCTGGTCCCTCTGCTCAGGACGTTGTCTTGCCCCAGTCACTTCTGGCCATTTTTGTCTGGGGAGTTCCAAGCTACTTTCTCTCCCATGCCGTGCTCTCATCTTTTGTTCTGGGCTCTGCCAGTGACCCAGGCCAAAGCAGGTTTAGCTGTCTGCTGCCCCTGGGCCAGGATGTCCCCGCGAGCCTCTCCCTTCGGGCGCCCTTCCCAGGGCAGAGCCTTCCGTGCAAGTACTGGCTGCACTGCCTGGCCCTCCCTGCCCAGGGCCTACCAAACCCGTAACCTGTTCTGCAGGGTCTGTGGGGTACTTAAGTCTGCCCGAAGCAGTCTGCACTGTGAGTATTAGATGTGCTGAGGTCATGTCAGCCACACACGTTCGCCCTGTAGTCTGTGCTTTGTCCAGTGGTGAGGTGGCAGCTGGCAGGTGGCTGGGGCCCAGCCTGGCACTGCGTCCTCCCCTCAGGGTGTCGCAGGCAGGTGGAAAGAATCTTCGGAACATTCACCTTCCATCGGACAAGCTGAGGTGTCCCATGTCCTTGAGCACCCTGATGCCTGTGTGTCTGAGACGACGATGTCAGATAGGCATCATGGGTACTGGTCCCTGCTTGTCACTTGTCCTCAGCAGGCATCACTAATCAATTGTGGAAACCTTCCGTTAGAGCCCAGGCCCTGCCCCGTGACCAGGCAGCTGCTGCCGCTGGAGCAGAGCTGGCATGCAGCAAAGCCGAGGTGCTGTCGGGTCTCATACCCAGCCTGTGTTCTCTTGGGACCCCTAATACTGGAGCTCAGAATTGGCTGTCAGACACGATTATGAAACTTCCACAGTCACCAGCTATGCATTTTCATAACCCATGTCTGACACGAATGGCCTGGAAACTCACCTCAGGCACACTCCTGGGTACGCCCAGCGGCTCCCATCCATGTGGGTGTGAGCCGCCCGGTCCTTGGTGCTGGTGACCTGTCCTCTAAGGCCTGATGTGCTTCCTTTGCAGGTTCACCTGCAGACCAGGTGAGTCCGCCAGACTCTTCTGTCCCGCTGCCCTGCCCCGTCCCCCACATGCCCTGTGTGGTCGTGAGGGCCCTGATGGCTCCCGCCCGTTCCGTTTGCCCAGTGCCTTGCCCACGGCAGTGGCTGCCTGGCTTTGTGACGTGCACCTGCACACCTGCCCGCATCCTGATTTGGCTTAGAGCCCTCTGTGTAGCTGACTTGGGATTAAGTCCCTGAAGTCGCTTACAGGATGTGGACATTGTCTTCCCCTTGCTGTGGAGTCCAGTCAAATTAACCACTTAAGGGGCGCTTTCTAGCCCCTGTTTGAGGTGCAAAGATGCCCTCACGGAGGAGGGAAGACATACAGCATCTAGCGGCAAACCCCAGGCTCAGAGCAGGGAGGCCCCAGGGCTGGGGTAGTCAGGGCAGGTTTCCTGGTGGGAGTTAATGGTACCGGGTGGGAGATGGCTGTCACAGGGCTGTGGAGGCGCACATGGGGGAAGACATGATAAGAATAGCTGGAGGCTGTCGCCTAGGGAACCTGTCGTAAATGCCTGTGGGAGTGCAGGACATGTCCCTGTCTTCTCCCTGCTTCCTGCACGGACCCTTCTATCCGGGGGTGCGTGTGGGGAGTGTCGGATGCTCGGGCAGCCTTCCCTCATCACTGTTGTCTGTCCTTGCCCTCACAGGATGCCTCTGGAGCGGGACCGGGTGAGTCTACAGGACTTGGGCCCTCTCAGCTATCGTCGGGTGTCAGCTTGGTCACCCGGGAGCCGAACCTGGGCCTGGTCACAGGGACTGCCCCGCTTTCCCCAGGCTTGTCGGCTCCCGCCCTGTGTGCTGTCCTCCAGCCCCATCTCCCTCCCACCTCCACAGCCACCTTTCCCGGGAGCCCTTAGTATCTGATGACGCAGCGCCGGGCATGGGGACAGGCCCAGCCTGCAGGGGGTCAGCGTCCTTCCAGCCCAGAGAGAGGCCCTGAGCTGCAGCCCAGAGACCCTGAGTGGAGGGGACATGAAAACGCTGCTGCTGTCACTTTACCGTTTTCTCTGTCTCCCCGCTCTGCGTTGCATCATAGGAACATGGCTTTTAAATGTTGAGAATTGAAAGCATTGTGTTCTATGAAGTTTTAGTGCAGTTCAAGCGGTGATGAGCATCTAAACCTAGTCACGGAAGAACAAAACCCCAAAGCACGCTGCTGCCGCTGGGACACCAGCATTGGGACCTGGCCCGTACAGGCCCATGTGGGGTGGCCGGGACAGAGCAGGGCTCCATCTAGGAGCAATCTGCATGATCTTGGGGGGCTCAGCCAGGACCCCCAATTCAGCCCCACAGCTGCCCTGGACCAGCTGTGTGGCCTTAGCAAGTCCCTGGGCCCGGCTACCTCCAGGCCCCATCTCTAACGTGAGGGTACCCCATATCCTGCTGCACGTGGCTGTCAGTCAGTCACAGGTTTGAAAGGTGTTTGGCAGAAAGTGTGAAGTGCCAATTAATAATAAGCTGTGATTACCACCACGATATTGAGCCTGTTAATCACATAAATATATTGGGTCTTCGGAAAAGTCATGACGTATTTTGTCTGTGTTTTTCAAAGGTCATTTATTTATTTATATAAAGAACAAAGATCAATCAATGATATATTGCCCGTTTTGTTCGATAACCTTTGCCATCTTTCAGTGAGCTTCATAATTCCTCGTTTATAGAAGGACCTGTCTTTATCGGTGAAAAACTGAACAAGGTGCTGATTTACAGCCTCATCTGAATTGAATGTTATATCACGCAAGGAGTTTTTTGTTTTTTGGCTTCGGGGTTTTTTTGGGGTTTTTTTTAAAGACTTTTATTGGGGAATTGGGGGATGGGAACAGTGCTGGGGAATTGGGGGAAGGGGAACAAACAAGTTGCTGTCCTTTTGTTCTTCAGTCTAGTTGTGGAGGATGTTGCTTCACTGGCCCAAGTTGGCACCATCATTGCGCTCTTCCCGGGCGAGGCAGATCAGTCGCCAGCTTCCGGACGGCCGCTCACTGTGGCTGCTGGCCGCTCACTGTGGCTGCTGGCCGCTCACGCTGGCTGCTGGCTACACACGATAGCCCATGGCAACCCACTGCCACAGGGGCTGCAGCCTACGCCGTTGCCGGCAACTCACAGCAGCCCAGCTTCAGGTTGAGCTGTTGTTCAGCATCTTAGCTGTAGAGGGCAGTGTCACTGGCCCTCACATGTGGGATCCAAACCGGGGCCCTCTGGTGTCCCAAGCCAGCTCTTAACCAACGCACCACTTGGCCGGCCCCATGCAAGGAGTTTTGAAGAGAGTGAAACAAGTGGAAGTCTGACAGTGCAAGGTCAGGCAAGTATGGTGGGTGCGGCAACACATCCCATCCAATTTCCAATAATTTTTGACGTGTGACCAAACTTGTATGTGGTCTCGTGTTGTCGCGATGGAACACAATTCCTTTACAATTAATAAGCTTTGGATGTTTCTGGATGATGGATTCATTCAAACTGCCCAGTTGCCAACAGTACACATTCGAATTGATTGTTTGGTTCCTTGGGGTAGGAGCTCGAAAAACACAACACCTTTAAAATCCCACCACACTGAGAGCATAACCTTCCTCTGATGAATGTCTGCTTTCGATGTCATTTGAGGTGAATCATCACATCGGGACCAAGATCGTTTGCGACCACATTGTTGTAAACAATCCACTTCTCATCACCAGTTATCAGTTGCTTCAAAAAAGGATCATTTTCCTCACGTTTAATGAGCATATCGCAGATGTTTATACATGCCGTCAAATGAACTTCTTTGAGTTCATGCGGAACCCAAATATTGAGCTTGCTTATGTATCCCAGCATCTTCAGGTGGTTGTGAACGCTTGAATGATGGATGTTCAATGTTTCTGCAATCTCTCATGTCGTGTAACATGGGTTTGACTTGATCGATGCCTTCATTTTGTCGTTATCAACCTTGGTGGGCCTCCCTGACCGAGGAGCGTTGTTGACATCAAAATCACCAGCATGGAATTTCATGAGCCATCGTTGGCACTGATGTTCTTGTGGAGCATTGTCACGTAAACTTTATGCAACTTTTCACAAGTTTGACGCGCGTTCTTTCCTTTATGGAAGAAAGTAAAACAGTAAAATATGGCAAAAATGCAGTTTGGTCTTCCATCTTCAACTTGTAAAATCTCTAAAACTCAACCAACTCACTCAATTTTTGTTTAGAATGAAGCTAGAACTGTCAGCGGTCAAATGACATAGCAATAACATAGATGCAAATGACTCTAGTACTTCCAAAAATGAACTAGTGCCATCTGTTGCAAACATGCATCATGACTTTTCCGAAGACCCAATATGTAACAAAGAGACACGAGTCTTTTGGGGAGAATTTAAGGGGGGGCCATATAGGCACTTGTCTTCTTGTCCAGATGCCCCCAGGGGTCTGAGAAGGCCATGGAGGCCGAGGTCAGCAATAGGGCAGGCTGTTGCCAGGATGAAGTCACGGAGCCACTCCCTCCTGCCCTGTCCTCCACAGGTCCCAAGATGGTGGCTGTGCAGAATTACCATGGCAACCCCGCTCCCCCTGGGAAGCCGGTGCTGACCTTCCAGACGGGTGATGTGATCGAGCTGCTGAGAGGGGACCCTGAGTCTCAGTGGTGGGAGGTGGGTCCTGGGGCCTGGAAGGTGGCGGCCCCGGCTCTTCCCCAAGCCTGCCCCCCAGGGCAGAAGCACAGAGTCCTACATCATCAGGCAAGGGCCAGTTTGGGGGTGAGACCATCAAGGGTGGAGAGTAGCAAGGCTGTGGCATTCCCACTGTGGCATGGATTTGGAGTTCCCAGCCCTCTCTTTCTTGGGGCATTAGCTTATCCGTGTTAGGGAATGCAGTGTCTCCTCACAGAGAAGCCCCTCCTGGCATCCCCATCTGCCTTCTGTACACCCTCCCCAAGGCTCCACCTCCTCCACTCCGTGCCTACCCCCTCCCCACTCTGCACCAGCTCAGTACCATCGTGGGGCAGTCAGGCATCATGCCCAGCCCTGGGGGACACCATGACTGAGACCCCACCTGCCATCTTCCCCTAGGAGCCCCCATGTGGTGGAGGGGAGGCAGCGGACAACATGGGGGCATTGCTTTATGGTTCTGAGCCATGAAACTTACCATTCCGTTTGTAAGGCCTAGATAGGTGGCGCTCTTGATGCCCACACACCCCTGGGCACTGCGGCCAAGCCCCTGGTTGCTCCCGGGGCGACCTGCTCCGAGCGGACACCAGTGCAGAATGGTCGTTATGTCCGTGTACAGCGGTTGCCATGGTTGCTGTTTTGTGGTGGTGCCCGTCAGTGCATACTTATGAATTTATTGTGCCAGACCGTGCCTTCACATAGCTGGAGAGTGACAAGGTGCAATGGGTGTCTGCATTCCCAAGCCTCGTCCCACCTGAGCCCCGCCGTCCAGTCTCCCTCCCCGGGTGTGACCAGGGCCATCAGCTGTTGGGTGGCCTTGTAGAGACGCTTTGCTGATGAGAAAGGAAGACTTAGTGAGGCTCTTCCTGGCCGAGGGAACAGGAGAGCGCAGGCCAAGCCCCGGCCCAGACTCTCCCAGACAACGTCTGCGTACCTCTCTGGTTTGAGAAGGGCTGGTGTAGACATGAGAGAACAGCAGCCGGCACATGGCACTGTATGTAGTCACTTAACTTCTCCGGGCCTCAGCGTTCTCATCTGAGAAGTGGGGATGCACCTCATCTCCCTGCCCAGAGTGGTGATAAGGTCACCTGAGGTCACAGCAGGGAGATGGTACTGTCACACGCTTCTCAGGAACTGCCCTTATTCTGTCCTGAGGGAACAGTGCACACAAAAGCGCCACCCTCAACTCCCACTCCCACTGTCACAGCCAGGCCAGGCCCCTGCTGGCCCTGACCGTTTCTGTTTTCCTCCAGGGCCGGCTGGTGCAAACCAGGAAGTCAGGCTACTTTCCCAGTGTGTCTGTGAAGCCCTGCCCTGTGGATGGAAGGGTGAGTGTTTGCACAGAAGCTTCTGGAGCACAGCGGCTGGGGTGCCAATGGGCTGTCCCCTCACTCAGCATGTCCTTGCTAATGGCCGTTGTCAGCTTGCCCCAGAGCAGGGGCAGTGCCCAGAGTGAGGACGGGTGGAGGCCACAGGGCACAGGTGCCCTCTTGTGTGAAGGACTCGGCCAGTTGGGGGCTGCATTTCATCATGCTGCTAAAAACACTAAAATAGCCGTCTCTGCCGCAGTTGTAATGGACTGAAGACCAGTTGTCTTTCTCCCAATTGTGGGGACTCTGAGTCTTCTCAGATTGTTATGTAGCCCCAGGAGGCGCGAGCTCCCCGAGATGTAAGAATTCAGAGCCAGAATTTATGATGCTAGGAAAAAGGCAGCGTGGCGTTTCTTTCGTGCAAGTGGCCTGGAGCAAGTTCTCGTCCATGACAAAAGCATCCAACAGGCAGCCTTGAATAAATTGAATCACCCCCCCACACACACAAAAAGTAAAAGCTAAAATTGCAAGTTCTCCCAAAGGAGCAGGAGGAGAGTCCAGATGCCATGAGCCTGGCGCCCAGCGGGCTCCCTGGCCTTTGACCCCATCTGCCCTGCACACTGCTTCTGTGCCACCCCATTGCCCACGTGAAGGAGGGTGTGTTAAAACACTTAGAGCTTTTGGATAATGTTTGCTGACAGGCCAAGGCGACCAGACAGCAGAGGAGGAAAAGCGTCACGAACACACCCGGTGGTTGGGGCAGGTGCCTTCCTATTCTGGGCCTCAGTTTCCCCATCTGCATGGCAAATGGCTGGAGAGGGGAAGAGAGGCCAGGGGTGCTGCAGCGATGGGTCTCCTCTCAGAGCTGCAAGGCCTGGCCTGTCTGCAGCCTCCCCCTGAGACCACACGGCCAGACGCCTGCCCAGGGGCCGTGGGCCCGTCTGCCGCGAAGAGCTATAGTGGGTGTCCCTGTCCACTGCTGAGAGATTCCTACAGCCTTTGGTGGCTCCCCTCCTGGGGATTAGGTGCACTATTAGTTGGTGGTTGGTTACTGGTTCATTCACTCATTCGTTCAGTCCGTCAAACCTACTGAGCGTCCACTCAGAGGTGGTGAGTCCTGGCCGCTGCTCTCAAGGACCTTGCAGTCCAGTGGCTTCAGGCCCAAGGGTTGGGTCATTGCTGACAAACCCCCTCTGGCCCCCACCCTGTGGATGGCCCCTGGGGGGGACATTAACCTGAATGTTCTCTTTTGCCAGCCGCCCATTGGCCGGCTGCCGTCCAGGGAGATCGACTACACTGCCTACCCCTGGTGAGTGGACCGACTGGCCCCTTGGCGGTGGGGTCTGGGGTCTCCGCTGTCTCCGGGCTGGCTGAGCCCCATCGCCCCAGCCCCCTTGTCCTTCCTCCGCCCCAAATTGCCAGGAGCCTGGGGGATTGTTCCCACACCCAAGCAGGTCTTTCTTTCTTTGCCAGACAGATCACCGGGTTTGAACACATGGGAAGGTGAAGCCGTTTTTCTAGATGATCTTGAGATTCATCGTATAAAATAGATGAAAATGGTTATTTAAGACCGAATCTATAGTCACGTATTTACTCATCCAGTTGCTGGATGAGAACAGTGAGGCTGTTTAGATTAATTAAAGCATGAAGTGGGCGCTCTGGGTGTGAGGTTGGCCTTGGGGTCCTGCTTCTGTTCCTGGGCCTGCTGGGTCACCAGGCCACCTTGAAGAACCACCCACCTGTGGTGGCCACAGAAAGGGTAGCTTAAGTGCAGTAACCCTCTACCCTGGAGTGCCTCTCATGATTTTCAGTTTGGGGTTCATCTCTGAAGCCACCCCTGTACCCAGGGGTGCAATGTGCCGGTACCTTGGTGTCCCTGGCACCTCTGCTCAGTGGCTCCATCGTGTCTCTGAGAGCCTGGGTCTGTTCACGGCAGTTTTTCACCCAAACTTCGGTCTCATACATGGGGAAGGACGGAGCTGTGACTTTGACTTGACGGCGTAACAAATAGACGTTAACTGTAGAATCACTCTTGGTTGCACAGTATTCACACAAGTCCTGGTTTAGCCTGATGGGATGGTGCTCAGGGTAATCGGCTTTGTTTCGGGGGAGGGGGACTTCATTTCAGCAGAGATGGCAGGAAAAGCTTTCTGTCCAAGTCTGTCCGAAACTCATTAGCAGAGGTGTTGGTGATCTCCAGTGTTACAACAAAAAACAAAAGCCCCACTTGGAGCAGTTTTTAATTACTGCTTTTTAAATAGTCAAAACTTACAAGAGAAATTTGACCTGATGTTTGCATTCCACTGAACACCTTTCGCAGGCCCCGGGTTCTGTAGAGTGGGACCCCCCGCAGTGGATTGGCCAAGGTCTGGGGTCCTTTTCCCCTCCATGATCTTTCCTGTGCCCACTATGTGCTTACTCACAGGCAGATGCCCTGCCACTGTCCTGCGGACCTCACCCACCGTTTGCCCCTCCCATAGGGGCGTGGCCTCATGTCCTAATCGGGTCATACGCTGGTTAGAGCTGTTGGCCCAGGGCTGGATGCTGTCATAGGCATTGTCGGTGGTACAACCCTCATTTCTTCCCGGCCCCTTTAGGTTTGCAGGCAACATGGAGAGGCAGCAGACAGACAATCTGCTTAAATCCCATGCCAGCGGGACCTACCTGATCCGGGAGCGGCCGGCCGAGGCTGAACGCTTTGCCATAAGCATCAAGTATGTGCAACCCAGGGGTCAAGGAGCCCTGTCCCTCAGTGCTGTTCTGAACCTCAGAGCCCACTTTCCCTCCATGTCCTAGGCTTATTGGGTTGGGGGTGGCCATCACATGTATCGCCCAAACCAGGACACTTCTGAGATGACAGGGCATCCGTGGGCCTACTCAGTGTAGCTGGCCTGGGACCTGCGGGAACAACCGCAGCCGCCATCAGTCCACAGCTGCCTTGGTTGTCATTTTCAGGTCAGGGGGACCAGACAAGCTCAGGCACCAGAGTCGGGCAGGGATACTATGAGAGGTCAGGGACTTCCCAGCGGCCTCACAGCTGGGCCTTGGGAAGGCCACACCACTGCCATCTTGCAGTATCAGACAGTGGCCTTCAGTCTGGGTGTCGTCCTGCCCAGAAGCTGCCCCCTCATGTGTCTGCTGTCACCTCTTCAAGAGACACAATCTGCTTGGTGGTTGGTCACCACTGGCATAAGACACCCACTGGACAGGAGTCTTGGGCCAGGCTGATAGGCCACGGGCCAGTAAATAGAGGGTTCTGGTCTGCCGTCACCTTGATGGGGTCCAGAGGCCCTGGCAGGGTGGCCTGTGTCGAGGGAAGGCCACCTCTGATCTTGCTGGGTGGGTGTTGGACAGGGCAGGACCTGTGACCAGGCCATCAGACACCTGCAGTGCTTCAGCCTGGGTGCTTCTAGTTGCAATAGTGGAAGCCGACATGAGGTGGCGGTGAGGGGCATTTCTGTGGGGTGCAGGAGGTCCTCACGGCCCTTAGGGCTGGCATGCACTGGGCTCTGCGGGGCCGCACCCTGCCCTGAACACACAGCCACGCCCACCCCTCGTCTCAGCCGTTGTGCCTGCCCTTCTGTGCCAGTTTCCTCTGTGTTTGCATCCCGTGGGGGCCGAAAGCGTGGCGGCCACCCCAGCAGCTGGCACTGTCCTGGCCTGAGCACGGGCCGTTGGCCAGCATGCCTGCACGTGTGTGCATGTGCATGAATCTTCCCTCCCTTTTCTAAAGTGCTGGGGAGGACTGCAGATGGACTTCTCCCGGTCATCCAGGCCCAGGGTCCCACTGTACAGAATGGCTGCTGAAGGACCCCTGGGGGTGGAAGTGGTGGAGGATAGGGTCTGGGGAACTAGAGAAGCTGGAACTGAGGACAAGCCCCTGCCCCCAGGTGGCAAACACTGCCAGGGCCCCCACAGCCTTTCCAAGAGGCCCCATCCACATTTGGGACCTGAATCAAATTCACTGGCTCTAACAAAAGCAACTAGAACACTGATGGTGACAAATGCCCAGTGAAATTCACTTGACTTGATGTGGGTCACCTGGTATGCAGGGCCTACTGTCAAGCAGAGGTCAGCTATACCTGTTGTGGGCGGAGGGAGCGTCATAAGGTGTGTGACACAGTGTGGGTGGGGCCGCCCACAGGGACCGTCTCAGCAGGGCCCTGAGAGGAAAGGAGCATGGGCCGTGGTGGCAGCTCTGTGGTGGAGGCTGGAGGGTGGCAGCGAAGTGGCAGAAGCATCACTCACCTGCTAGGGACTCTCAGTGCCTCTGTGTGCCTGGCCTGCAGGGCTCCCAAGTGGGGCTCAGATGGGGATGAGGCTGAGTACACTGAGCTCGCTTTCCCCCAGGAAAAGCAGAGTGGGTGTTCTACAAAGCCCCTCGGGAGAGGGTTCCAACTCTTGCCCCCCCCTTTTTTTTTTTTTAGCTGAGCCCTCCTGCCACCTGTTGGCAGCTCAGCTCGGGCGGGGAATCAAACGGCTGTTGCTCAGAGCTCACACTCTTGAGCGAGCTCTTAACCTCCTGAGCCACTCGGCCGGCCCGGGTTCAAACTCTTCAACAACTGCTTGTTCCACTGACTGGTTTCTGGAGTCAAACCAACCTTGCATTCCTGGAATGTCCCCTTTAGCTGTGGTGTCAAGTCCTTTTTATGTGTTTGTTTTGGATGGATATAATAGGTATAGGGACAGATTCAGTTTGCTAATAATAGTTTGTTGAAGATTTTTGCATCTTTGGTCATCAAGGATATTGGGGTATCATTTTCTTGCGGTGTCTTTGTCTGGCTTTGGTGTCACCTGGCAAGGAGTAGGGTGGTACTTGGGGAGGAGGGAGCGAGGCGGCTCTCTAATAAGGTCACATTTGAATTGAGACCTGAGAACACCAGAGGGCATCGTGACGATGGCAGGAGGGTGATCATTCCAGGCAGAGGTACAGCCAGTGCCAGACCCTGGCGGCTTGTGCTTGGCGTGTCTAAGCCAGAGCCCAGAGGCCCGGCCGGCTGGAGTGGATTGTGAGGAGCTGGTGTCAAAAATCTGGGGCGGGGCTGCTCCCCTCAGGCCTCCTGGGCCAAGGTCGGACCGTTGACTTACAAATCAAGCCGTGAAGGCTTCACCAGGCCATGGGGAAGGGGAGGGGGCAGACGTTCCCAGTGCAGAGAAGAAAATGAGTCCGGAAGTGTCTGGATGGACAAGAGGTGTGGAGCTTGGGGCCTGAGGCCTTGCAGGCTGACCCAGGAGTTTGGGCTTCAAACGGGCAAGGGGACCGACAGATGGACAGACAAGCAGGAGGAGAAAGGCCGAGGCTGGGGTGGGCCAGAAGGGAGTGGCCGTGGGAGCTGGAGGTGTGAGCCCAGGGCAGGGTCTTTGTTCCTGCAAACATGTACCAAGCCCAGACCCTGGGGGGCTGAGGGCCGCACGGCCCTAACAGTGGCCACTGAGGCCGTGCTCTTTGTCCAGGTTCAACGACGAGGTGAAGCACATTAAGGTGGTGGAGAAGGACAGCTGGATCCACATCACAGAAGCGAAGAAATTCGAAAGCCTCTTGGTACGTGACTCCATGGCGTCTGCTGGCCTGGCCTGAGGGTGGGAGGAGGGGCTGACGGGGAGGGGCCTCCTGCGCCCCACTTCCTGCAGACCAGGTTTGCAGAGCATCCCCCACAGCTGGGCTGGGGGCCACTTCCTCGGGGAGAGTGAGTCTCCCCAGCATGGGGAGGAGCCGAGGAAATGGGTTTGTGGGGCACCTTGGCACAGTTAGGGCCTCTTTGCAGCCCTCTGAGTGAAGACTGTGCCCCAACCCTGCCAAAGGTGGATTGAGTGTGGTGGACAGTGACAGGGGAGGGCCCAGCCCGCCCTGGCCACCAGCATCACAGCAGCCTGTTCCTGCCAGTCTTCCCACCAGAGCCAGAAACCGTGGCCCAGTGAGGTTCCGTCCAGGTCCTGGCATGTAGCCAACCTTACAAAATGTGGGGCATCCCAACACCCTCCCTCCCCCCAGATGCTCCTCCCCAACCTGCCTCCCCATCCCCACACGGTCCCAGCCCAGCCCAAACGCAGGTAAAGATGCAGGCCTTCTTCAAATGATTTTAAAATGAGAACCATTTTTCTTACAAAATGTCTAGGTATTGAGAACACCTGACCAGAGTGTATAAGCTCTGAGACGTTCTCCCCGCCTGCCACCATGGCCATAGAAAAGCACAAAGTAAAACAAAGTATCCACAATGCCCCCACCTCCCAAAAACCCAATGTGGACACTTCAGGGTGCGTCCTCGGAGGAAGCTTCGGTGTAGTTTGTGTGTGTACCTTTTTGAAACCAAACCATCCTAAGGAACACCCACTGTCGGACTAACGGTCCTCTCCCCCGCTGGTGCCCACACGGCCTTGGGTCACTTGGATATGCTGTTATTTCTATTCCTGGCCTAGGACACAGGAGGCGGGCGGTGGTGGGGGGGTTCCTGCTTTTCTCCATTATGCAGTGTCGCAGGGAGCACCATGTCCCTCAGTCTCAGCATTCTTCCCTGATTTTTCCTTTAGAAGCATTTGGGAGAGAAATTGCTGGATCAGAAGTCGTAGCGATACTCACCACCCACCCTGGGCCAAGTGCTGGGGTGGGGAACGGGAGGGGTTTTGGGGGTCAAGGATAGGAGTCCCCACGTGAACCTGAGGAGGCGGGAGAGGGAGGCCTGGGCAGCTGGGAGGACTGCCTGGAGGCGACGACAGTCAGTGAGCGTGTGCGTCCTGCAGGAGTTGGTGGAGTACTACCAGTGCCACTCGCTCAAGGAGAGCTTCAAGCAGCTGGACACCACGCTCAAGTACCCCTACAAGTCTCGGGAACGCGCAGCCTCCAGGGCCTCCAGCCGCTCCCCAGGTAACGCCCACGCCCACGTGGCACACCAGTGCCCACCTGGAGGTGTCTGCTCCGTCCTTCCCACCACCCAGCTGCCCTTGAGGAAGGCTTTCTGTGGGCTGTACTGGCCTAGGCCAGGCGCCCCTTCCCCATCCGGCCCCTGGGAGCAGTGGCCCAGACCCCCCAGCCTATCACCTCCCGAGCCAGGGTGCGAGGTGGACCCAGGTGACAGGCAGGGAATGCCAGCTCTGAATTACTGCTCCAAGTCTTGGTGCTTTTGCCCAGAGGTCAGTGTGGGGAGAGAACAGGGCAGGTCCCCTGTGTCCCCCGCCTCCTAGGGCCTCCACTTGGAGAGAGCCAGACCCAGCACCTCTGCTGGACCCCACGGCCCAGGCCAGGCGGCCACCTCCAGTCGGGCAGGGTGGGCCCAGTGTGTTTGGCATCCAGCCCAGGACTGTCCCCTGAGCCACCCTGCTTCCTCTAGCCTGCAGGGCCCTGCAGGACTGTCGGTCCCACCCGGGTACAGTAGGCCAGGAAAGGAATGATGGGCCTTTAGTGAGCACCTACTGTGTGCTGGGTGAGGGGCTGGGCTCCTGGCACATGGCAGTCCTCATGCAAACCCACCCCCTGGGAGGAAGTGGTCCCGCTTAGCTCTCCAGTAAACACGTACAGAGAGGTGGAGTGAGGGCGGCTCAGAAGTGGCCGAGCTGCTCCTGTGCCTCGAGCCCCTGCCGCCCCCGCCCCTGCCGACCCCCTGGGCAGGGCCTGGGCCCCGCCCCTGCTGCCTGTGACTGCGCCTGTGAATGGATTGGACGCGCCTCCCTCCGCCTCCCTTTCACGTTCTCTCTCGCCTCTTTGCAGCTTCCTGCGCTTCCTACAACTTTTCTTTTCTCAGTCCTCAGGGCCTCAGCTTTGCTTCTCAGGGCTCCTCCGCTCCCTTCTGGTCAGGTACCGCTGCCCTCGGGGCGTGGGGGGGGCCGGCCTGCCGCCAGCTGCCTGGCAGGCCTGGCATGGGGCTGCCTGCTGGCCCACAGCCCCTGCCTGAAGGTGTCCGCAGCTGCCCGCAGCCTGGTGCCGGCGGGGGTGGAGGGGTGCGGGCAGGGAAGCAGGTGGCCCGGCAGGCAGGCGCGACTGCTGCTGGCACCTGAGGACGCAGTCAGGCTTGGCGCTGCCCTGCCCGCTGCTGTCGCCTCTCTGACACGCTAACCCCATGGCCACCTCCAGCTTCGCCTCTGGGAGTGGCAGATAGCCAGGCAGCCCCGCTCAGCGGCTGTAGGAGTTGTAGGACATGGGTGCACGGGTCTCCGCTGGCCTTGACCGCACAGCCCTCCGCTGCCAGAGGCAGAGCACTTCCCAGCAGCTGTGTGTGTTTCCCCCTCCGTCATGGTCATTGTCACCTATCCATCGGGGCTTCTGGGTCTCGGGTTGAGCTGGTCCGGCTGGGTTTCCAGTTGGTTTGGGGATCTGGAACTGGGGTCGTGAGGGAAGTTGGGCCCCATGCCCTGGGGTCCCATTCCAGGGTCTTGGTCAGTGAGGGCTGGGAGCTGGGCAGCTGTCACTCAGCCATCCGCTGGCCACGTGACGTCTGTACACCGGGCACACGGGAAGGCCTCACAGGAGCTGTAATGGTCCAAGCGCTGGCACCTGCTCTGGTCCCCATGAACACGCTCATTGCCTGCGACGGCCCCCAGTGCAAGTGGTGACCGCTCTGACCCCCTTCATGGGGGAACTCGGATAGACCATATGCCGCAGTTTGTGTTCCCACAACGGAGTGAGGGGCCTTGGGATGGGGCCCGGCCTGTTTCTCCATCCTGGGCACAGGGCCAGGCACCAGGGCAGAGACCCAGCTGGGCCCCAGGGACCCCCAGCTCTGGCTGGGCCTGGCTGGGTAGCTGTGTGACACCCATCCCCCCAACAGTGTTCACGCCCCGTGTCATCGGCACGGCCGTGGCCAGGTACAACTTCGCCGCCCGGGACATGCGGGAGCTCTCACTGCGGGAAGGCGACGTGGTGAAGATATACAGCCGTATCGGCGGGGACCAGGGCTGGTGGCGGGGCGAGACAAATGGACGGGTGAGTGGGGCTGGCCCCGACCCCCACCCTGCCCCCGTGCAGAGTCCCAATCAGCAGGTGGGCCTTCTGGCTCGGACCGGCCGGACCTGGCCCAGCCCAGCCGGCTGGCAGCACAGCCTCCCCATCCCACCGACTGTGCCAGGCATCCTCTGTACCCACACCTGAGCTTCCCGGGTCAGATCTGATCCAGGCCCGTCTGACCCGCATATGTGCCAGGTCCTATTCTGTGGTCCTCAGGGCCACTGCAAGGGGACAGGTTTGCCTGCAGTCTTCAAAGTCACTTGCATGTTCTCAAGCCATCTTTGCAGACAAGGAGGTCACAGGACCAAGCGTAGGGCCCGGGGGACCCTGCAGAACGCCTGCTGCCATATTCCAGGGCGCAGTTTACACCCTGGTGCATGGGAAGGCACACACCGTGTCCCTACTGCCCTGTTCCTTCGCACTCTTCCTGAGGACTCCCGCCTCCCCTGCCCACCTTGCGAGTCCGCATCACTCCATGTTCCCGTGCCCCAGCACCTGGTCTGGACCCCCTGGCTGTGACCCAGTTCTCTCAGTGCCCACACAACAGGGTACTCTATGTCCATGTGCTGCCACTTAGGGAATGTCTGCCTGTCCTTAGGGCTGCATGCGGGCACACTGGGCTGGGGAGAGCCGGCCAGCCTTGGCTTCTGTCGCTCACCATCCCACTGCCAGGTGGTGGGAACCCACCTGCCTCCTCCTAGCATGTTGCTCCCCTCAGAGACCCTCAGGCCTCATCCATTCTCCACCCGACAGCCTTCAGAAGTGTGAGGCCACTGAGTTGCAGGCAGCCAACCTAGAGGGCTGAGACTACTAGTTTTCAAAGTGGTTTTTGGGGCGCCAGCACTGCAGGCACCTGGGGCTGTGATGTAAGCACATGCCTGGGCCCTTTCCTGGTCATGAAGCCAACCAGCCTCCCAGGAGATTTCAACGCAGAGTTAAGTTTTAGAACCACTGGTTTAGAGCATTACTAGATATTCCTGTTGCTTTGACCCTGTAATTACGAAATGTCTCTTTTTATCTCTGGCAGTGTTTCTTGCGGTAAAGTCTACATTTTCTGTTCTTAGAGCAACAGCAGCTTTTTGGAGGGGGTGGTTAGTGTTTGGTATGACACGCTTTTTTCTCTCTTGTATTACTTTCAACTTTTCTGTGTTCTTATATGTAAGATAGATGTAAGACAAAATCTTGTAACTTTTTTTAAAGCCAGTCTGATATGACAGTTTTTGCCTTTTAATACATATATAGTCCATTTATATTTAATGTAATGACAGAAATTTAGAATTAAATCCATCATCTTTCCATTTATTTTTTATTCGTTGCATCTATTCCTTCTTTTTTTTTCTTTCCTACCTACTTTTGGATTAACCAGTATTTTATTCTATTCCACTTCCTGCCCCCTTGATTGGTTTGTTAGTTACACATCCTTTTCCCACCACTTAGGGGGTTACCTTAGGAGTTACAGCATGCACTTGGCCTTCTGGGAGACCACCTTAAATTAGTATTCTTTCTACTTCCTGGACAACACAAGGACCTTGTCGCCTGTAACTGTATTTATTTTTCTCTCGACTGTTGTGAAGGTGTTTCATGTATCTTAACTCGACATATTTTTTAACCCCATAAGATGTTATTTTTGTTGTAAGCAGTTAGCGTTCATTCAGATTTACACCTGTTTACCTTTTCCCAGGGCTCACAATTCCTTCCCACATTATCGTGTTTCCACCTAAGACCATTTTACTGCTGCTTGACATTCCTTTTTCTTGTTTTTTTGGTTTTTTTTTTAAGTTGCAGAAAAGGACAGTTTATTAGAAGAAAAAATACATCCCAAAGACGTGGGCCTGAGTAGTAGAGAATGGCTCAAGAGCCATTATTAGAAGAGAAAGTGCACTCCAAGGAGTTTGGAGCGAGCTGAGCAAAAGAAGCTCAAAAAGGCCTCCTTTTTCTTGTCTTTTAGTGCAAGTCTGCTACTAATACATTCTCAGTTTTTGTTGGATCTGAACACATCTTCATTTCACTTTCTTTTTTTAATGTTCTCATTGTAAAGTGTCTGTAACTTATTTTGATGCAGTTTAAAACTCAAAGTTGCCATCGTCCAAAGAACTCCCGTATGCCCAGATTTACCAATTAAGAATGATTAGACCATTTGCTTTATCATTCGCCTTCTCTCCCTTTCTCTGTGTGTGTGCGCGTGCGTGTGCACGTTCACCCTTACCTTTTTTCCTAAGCCATTTGACAGTCAGTTGCAGAAATCATATCCCGTTACCCCTAAACGCTTTAGTATAAATTTCCTAAGATCAAAGACATTCCCCTTTGATATAAATGGTGATCTAATCCACAGTCCATAGTCAAACTTCCCCAGTTGTCCCAATAAAGTCTTCGGTAGCTATTTGCCCCTGACCTTGGACCAGATCCATGACCATGCATTGCACTAACTTGCGTGACACTCAACTCACTTTCGTCTGGGACAATTCCTCAGCCCTTCTCTGTCTTACATGCCTTTGACATTGTTGAAGAGTATGGGCCAGTTATTTTTGTAGTCTCTCCCTCAGTAAGGTTGGTTTGATATTTCTTCATGATTAGCTTGAGGTTCTGCATTTTCACTGGGAAACCACAATGGGGTGTTGTATCATTTTCAGTGCTACAATGTCCTCCCCAGAGGTATAAGACGCCAGTTTGCCCCAGGATGGTGACATTAACTTTGATCACTTGGTTTTGGTGGGATCTACCAGGTGCTCCACTGTGAAGTTACTGTAATTAATAAGTAATTTGCAGGGTAATACTTTGAAATCTGATAAATATTCTGTCCCACACCAAACTTTCACCTACTAGTTTTATTATTCATTGATGAGTTAACTATTTCCTGTCATGGTTGAAAAATAGTCGTTTTCTAACTGTTTTTTCTTGTCCAGGTTTTAGTAGGCATTCTACTGCAAGGAAAAGCTTTTGCTTCCCCCCCTTCATCGTTCTCCCCCAGGAATCAGTTCTCTCTCCATTGAGACCTGCTTCCTTTTTGGGGAGCAGCGGTACTGAGTTCATATGTGAAGGGTATTTTCACTGGGGATAGACTTCTAGGCAGTCAGATGTTTTATTTCAGCACTTTGGTGGCATTCCATTGTCACCTGGCTTCCAGCATTTCTGTAGAAAAGTTAGTTGACATTCTTTTTTTTTTTTAAGATTTTTATTGGGGAATTGGGGGAAGGGGAACAGACAAGTTGCTGTCCTTTTGTTCTTCAGTCTAGTTGTGGAGGACGTTGCTTCACTGGCCCAAGTTGGCACCATCATTGCGCTCTTCCCGGGCGAGGCAGATCAGTCGCTGGCTTCTGGACGGCCGCTCACGCTGGCTGCTGGCCGCTCACGCTGGCTGCTGGCTACACACAGTAGCCCATGGCAACCCACTGCCACAGGGGCTGCAGCCTACGCCGTCGCTGGCAACTCATCGCAGCCCAGCTCCAGGTTGAGCTGTTGTTCAGCATCTTAGCTGTAGAGGGCAGTGTCACTGGCCCTCATATGTGGGATCCGAACCGGGGCCCTCTGGCGTCCCAAGCCAGTTCTTAACCAACGCGCCACTCGGCTGGCCCAGTTGACATTCTTAATGTTACTCCTTTGTAGGAAATGTCTACACTGTTCCCCTCTGGACTACATGTTAAAAATAAAAAAAGTCTGGTTTTCATCAGTTTTACTATAATGTGCCTAGATATGGTTTTCTCTGTGTTCATTCTGCTTGATATTTATAGAAATTGTTTAATCTGTGGCTGATACCCTTCATTGGTCTTGGAGATTTCTTCAGATGGTGAATCTGCCCTGTCTTCTCCTACGGCTCCATCGACAGGGCTGCTAGGTCTTTCCACCATGGCCCGTATCTCCCTGCACTGTTTTCTGTGTTTTCCATGCACTAGCTCTGGTTTTCCATCCAATTGCTTTCCATCGATTCATCTTCCAGTTCGTTAGTCTTCTCTTCTGCTTTGTCTAATCTGCTGTGAAATCCCTCTACTGGGGCCTTAACTTTTGTCATTATGTTTTTCAGTTCTGGGATTTCTATTTGATTTCTGAGTTCAGCTCTCTGATAAAATTTTATGCCTTTTCATCAGTTTTCTGAAATATACAAGTTAGAGTTATTTATGTTCCTGACAGTTGACTGCAACATCGAGATGAGCTGGAGATTGGTTTCTGTTGTCTGCGTTTTCTCTTGGCTTCTGTCACGTGGTCCCGATTGAATGCTGAGCTTGCGTATGAAACACCATAGAGGCTCTGGAGCATGTTATGTTCCTCCGGAGGGGATTTTTTTTCCTGGCTGTCAGGTAGAGAGGGAACAGATCATCTTAAACTGCTCAGGACTGGTGCGTTTCAGGGCCACGCCCCTTCCTGGGCCACACCTCCCCCAGGCTCTCAGCTGCTCTTGAGTTAGGACTGACTTCGAACTCCAGCCTTTTGAAGGATCCCCCATATCCATGAGCCTCTACTCGCCCAACACACACGCACACACACTGTTATGTGATCCTGCCATCTTTTTCAGGTCGGCTGGTTTCCTTCAACGTATGTAGAAGAGGAGGGCATCCAGTGACGGCAAGAGCACAGACAGGACTCGTGGATTTTCTTGGAAGGGTCGCTCCTGCTCTGAAGTCCGTCTCCTGCTCCGTGACTCAGAGGAGGAAATGCCTGCTGACCTTTCGGTCTTCAACAGCCCATAGGGATGGGGAGGGTGTGCAAAACCCCAAACGCAAACCGCCTCACACCAGCCTGCCCTTGGTGGCCTGTCCTGGGTTCACTACTTGTACATAGATGAAATCTGGGCAAGCCCTGCTGTGGCCGCCACCACCAGAGCGCTGAGGACCGCGAGCGCCAGGCTCTGGGTGACAGCTGAGGCCAAAGCTCGTCTTGCCCCTGTCTCGTCGAGACGGCATTCAGGAGCCTAGACTTGCACAGCAGATGCTGTCCCAGGCAGGGCTGGGCACAGCAGAGGGGCCCCCCCACCCTTTCTGCTCAGCCCCTGGACTGTCCGCCCTCTTGCTTCCTGCTGCTGACAGGGGCGGCCTCAGGCCTGAGAGGAAGTGGGGCCCCTGTGCTGCCCCAGCTGTGCTTGAATGGAGAGGAGAGCGTTGCAAAGGGCCTGTGAAGTCCCCTTTGACCTCCTCGCGTCCCTCTGCACCAAGGGCTGCAGAGCCCCCCCTCCCCCCAGGGCAGGTCCCTCTCTTGGGAGGGTGCCTTAGGAACGAGGAAGTCACCGACCTTACTCCTTAGTCAATGGTACTGTCTTCGCCCTGAATCCGAGGTGTGTGTCTGTCCTGTCCTGCTGCCAGGTGGAGACATCTTTTGTAAACCCTGATATGGGCGGGGAGAAAACAGGGTTTTCACCTTGCTCTGTCCCTGCTGCTCACACCCCTCTCCAGAAGGAGGCCCCCCGCTGCTGCCATGCAGGCGGGTCCTCGGGGGTCTCCTGTGTCCTGCAGGGTGGTCCCTGAGGGTCCCCCCAGCCTTTGCACAGGATGTCAGCTCTCACCCTTGGCAGGTCTTCTGCCCAGGGCTCCTGCAGCTCATGGACTGGGCCTGTGGCCAGCCCAAAATAAGTGCTCTTGGGGTGGCTCTACCCCGTATTGCCCCCTCCTGACATCTCCTGGCCTTTCAGCTTTGGCTGGCATGGCCAGACCCTGTTTTCTCTGCCTGGATGTTGCATGAGATCTAGTGACACTCTGAGCTCCGTGCCAAATCTACTGGTGAAGCCTGGGCTTCGTGTGTCCCCCATCCCTTCGGACAGTGGCTTAGCCCTGGTGCAGGGAGCGGGGACCAGGCCGAGGCTGGGCGTTGGGAAGGCCGGCCCCTACAGGCACGGCTGCTGGTTGCCACGCTGCACCCTGGGGCTCCTCTGAGGTCATTTTTGTTGCCTCCAAGCTCGGCTCCCACGTTCAGCATCCTGGCATGGGGAGGAGGCAGAGAAGGGTCCGAGGTGGCAGGCTAGCAGGGAGGAGAGACAGGCCTGTGCAGCCTGCAGAGGCTTGAGAAGTGAGGCTGAGCGGTTTGGGAGGCAGTGGAGCCGTGGGAGGAAGAGTGAGCCCGGAGGGAGCGACTGAGTCCCTGTCTTAGGTGCACCCAGCACTTTGCGTGAGCCCAGCAAGGGAGGGCAGAAACCAGCCGGCCCCTTTTTGTTTACTGTTGTCGGAAAGGTTTTGTTTCTTGTTTTTTGTTGTTTTGTTTTCGGTTTAGCTGTTTGCTTTTTAAGGGGAAAAGAAGTTTGTAATTATTTCGTCCAAAGCTCCCATTATATGTCTGGAAAGGAAGAGATTTTATAATAGTAAGAAAACCGTGGGTATTTGAGGTCCTCATAAAACAAGTCGTCATGATGATGGAGGACACAGAAAACAATTTAAACCCTGCTTTTTGTGAATGTTTTGTTTAGTTTGTTTTGAAACATGGGTTTGGTTCGGTTTTCCTTTTGCACTGCACGAGGCAGGAGGGGCAGAGGGCCGGGGCAGCAGGGATGCTGGTGTTTTTGGCCGGACGCGGGACGCCCTCTGGAGGGGGCTTCGGACCCGGGGCCTGAGATGAGCTGTGAACACAGGAGCCCAATGCATCGGGTCAGGGGCCTGGAGGCGACCCCAGATAGAACACAAACTGTACATTGGATGATAGGCTTTTTTCAGACCACGGTTTTTACTGCAAATAAACCTAAGTTCTTTTCTGCAGGAGTGGCTGGCCTTTCATGCCGGGGAGGAGGAAGTGGCGGATTCCTCTGTCTGTCCCCAGCAGGGGACACTGTCAGCCCAGGGGACACGGCCTGGGTCAGACATAGGCTGGTGGTAGCCCAGCCTTGGGTGGAGACTGTAGGCCTGGAGGAGATAATGGTGGCAGGGCCGCCGACTGGGTGCCTCCTCCCTGCTGGCACCGTGCCATGGGCTTCCCATGCAGCGTTCTGCGGAACCTTCCAGCAGCCATCAGAGGCAGGCACCGCTGTCTTCCTGTTTGGATGCGTTTCCAACCCTCGCCCTGCCAGTGGTGCATGCCTTTTACATCCTGAGCCCGTTTCTTTATCTATATACGGTATATGCTGGACATAAATATAGTTTCTCTGGAGGTGAATCTGTGCCCTATGATAGAGAAGGGTAGTAAGGTCCTCCCTCAAGGAGAAGCAGTCAGAGGCAGCGGCCCAGGGGTGGTTTGGTGCCTCCCCCACCCCCCATCCCCGGCCCCTCCCGTCCTCAGCACGTGCGTCCCTCATGGTTGTGGTCCAAGATGGCTGCTGGAGCTCCTGCTGTCGAGGCCACGTGCAGAAGTCGAGGTCGGCACAGTGCCCCGTCTTACCCTCGTAGCCCAGAGCTGGGTCTCGGCACACTCCGGGCTGTGGTGGAGGCTGGAAATGCAGGACCTGGGCTGGGCACACAGCCTCACCACAGTAACAGCAACAGAGGCGACTAAACCACAGGCTGCAGAATCAGAGCCACAAAAACCAGACTGTAAGATACGTGTGCTTAAAGATAGGCTAGCGGCGGTTGGACGTGGGCGTAAAGAGGGAGAAACTAAAAGATAACCAAGCCAATTAGACAAAGCATCTAACAGAAGTAGAACTGCAAGAACTGTGTGGCAGCTGGGCTCAGGCTGGACACCATAGCATCACGTGGTGTAGGGCGATGAAGCCCTGGTGGGGGACATGGGCAAGGCCAGCATGGGGGCCAGTGCTGCTGCTGGACACACTGTGTTTGCATTCCAGAGAGTAACGCTGTCACCCCCACCCCATGACTACCTTCTTACAGTGCAAGTGTGGAAAGTGGCCTTGTCAGAGGAAGGCAGACAGGCTAACTACCTGGGTTCCAGGGGCTTGTGGGAGTTGCCTGGGAATGCCTGCTGCTCTGCTCCAGGGGGTTTGGGGTGCAGGGGAACTGTAGCCCCTTTTGCCGACAGAAGGGCATTATCAATCCCATAGAAGTCTGCATTTTGGTGCAATCTCCCTGTCTGAGAAAAGAGAGAAGCCCCCTGGTAGCTCATTGTGCAGGCCATCCACAGTGGGCGCTCTCAGGGTCATTGCCAAATAGTTCTCTGTACCAAAGTAATTTAAATCACAATGGATGGGTCAGATTAGACACAGTCAGAGGAAGAATTAGTGCCCTGGAAAATAGCTCTGATGTCATCCCTGGCAGTACAGAGATGAAACGAAGGCGGAGATGGAATGAGGGTCCAACGTCTACTATAGACAAATCCCAGACGGGGAGGACACAGAGGGTGGAAGAGAGGCAATATCTGAAGAAATGCTGGCTGGCTACCTGAGAACTAAACAAATCAACAGTCTAGAGAACCAGGAACCCAAAGAATCCTGAGGAGTGTAAATCAAAAGCAGTGCAAGTCTGGGACTGCCACAGGGACATGGCAAGACGCTGAACACATGAGGTCTCAAGAGCAGCTGGAGAAGAAACCCCAGGTTGCTGCTAATGAAACAGCGATGTAGTGGTTTTACAGAAGCAATAATGGGTCCAACCTAGAATTCTGCAGCCCCAAAAATGTATTTCAAAAACAAGGATAATCTAAAGGAAATTTTAGAGAGAAAGAAAAGCTTAACCCACCCCCACTGGAGGATTTGCCCTAGAACGTTCTAAAGGTGTTTCAGTCTGAAGGAAAATGGTAAATATGTGGATATATCAGAACAAACACTGGCAGTTAAAGTAATAGCAGGATACTATCTGATTGGAAACAAGATGGAATTCATGTACATGATAATGATGTCCCGGAGGTTGGGAGAGGGGTGACCTCGGTGACCGTGTTCAGAGGCCCATGGACACCTTTGTTGTTTGGGAGGACGGAAATGCTGTGCTTCTGTGGGTAAGAAGCCCGGGCACAGCTCAGCTGGCTCCTCGGCTCAGGGTCTCCCAGTCCACGTGTCTACCATGTGTTGTCACTGGAGGTGTCACCAGGGAAGGGGCCCCGTCCACACTCACTGAGGCTGTGGGCAGAATTCACTTCCTTGCTGGTAGATGACTGAGGTCTGGCTTCTTGCTGGCTGTCAGCCAAGGGCCGCTCTCAGCTCACTTCTTCATGGCGGGCAGGAGACTACCTCTTCCGTCTGCTAGGATCAAGTCTTAATCTAATGCAACATCATCAAGGGAGTGACAGCCATAACCTCTGTCACAGGTGCCGTCCGCACTCAAGGGCGTCTACAAGGGTGGGCCTCTCTTACCACAATGAGTTGAATTAGAAATCAATAATAAGAAATGCACATGAAACTTCCATACGCTTGCAAATTAAGAAACATGCTCCTATAAATCAAAAACAACATAATGGAATTATAAATTATTTCAAACATTTCAAATTTTAAATGATAAAAATACTTCATATCAAGCTTGTAGGATGCCGCTAAAACTGAACTTGACCCGAGACTGGTGACCTTGACAGCTCTTTTACACAGGACTGGGGGTAGACTTTCCTTTCAGACACCGTTATTCAGGCTCAGACAAAGCACCGATTCCTTGAACAAAAGTCTTGCGTCTCCATTAAGCATTTCCAAATTATCTATTTAAAATGTAATTTTTCCAAGCAGAAAATTACAAGTGGATTAAATGCGCGAATTACAGGGTTTTGAAATTACAGCCCTTGTTCCGATGGCGCCCACTGCTGGGGCAGGGGTGGCGGGAGCCAGCCAAGCCCTCGCCAGCTCCTGGTTGGGTTTCACAGCGCTTGTGGGTTAAACTGGGACCTCTGTTCTTTAGTCACATCTCAGTGTCTTTATTTTCTTTAATGATTTGGTTTGGACTCTCTCCCTAGAAGAAAGCCCACAAATGCACACAGAGGTGGGAGCTTTGTGCCCCTGGCTTCTCTGGATAGATTCCACCTCTTGACACTTCTGTGCTGTTGGGGCTGTAAGGCAGATGGATGGAGGTGACAGCCTCGGCTCTCTGCAGCTCCACACGAGCCCATGCCTGAGTTGGGTAGGATTACAGTCTGGTTGAGTGATGGACAACCCACATGACAAGAGGTGGATATTTCTCACCTAACAGGTGGTGACCCAGGGCTAGGACTGGGTCAGGGAACCAGGTCTTTGTGGCTTTTTGTTCCCCTGTGTCTGGCCTCTTCGTGGTCCAAGATGGGACTTCAGCCCCAGCCCCTGAATCCACATTCCAGCCAATGGAAGGAGAAGGGGCATGGCCTTTAAAGATACCTTCTGGAAATGCCACTCACCGTCTCCCATTGGCTGTAATCTGGCTGCAAAGGAGGCTGGGGAATGTAGTCTTTATTCTGGTGATTAGCATAGAAGGAGGAAAGCACAGGGTGGGGTGGGGAGGTGAGTGGAGGCCTCTGCCACGTGGACCAGATGGCCATGAGGAGCTGGCCTGGCAATGGCTGCACAGTCCCCTCGAGGTGCATCTTGGTGATGGAGAACCTTGACTCACGTGACACATGCAGGGGACACTGAGCTTTCTAAGGCTTCCCAGCCTGTTCCCAGTATGACAATCACTGTACAGCAGGCTATACCTTAGTGTGGTTAGATTTCAGTTCTCATGGGGGTCAAACCCTGCACACATGGGGAAGGAACAGGTTTCCATTTTTACACCTTGAAGACTTGGCCTGACATTTTATTTCTTAGACTTAAAAATCTCTTGCTGACACCACTTACAAAGCCTAGATTCTTACCAACACACTAGCATGTATGTACTTGTTTCTTTCCCTCATGAGTGAGTTAGCATGTCCAGCAGAAAAGGGACAAATCAATGTGCTCCTGGATGGGGACAGCCAGCCTGGCCAGGTGAACGCCCCTTGTGTGCTGGTGGGCCCCACGCTGTGTTCCGCCAGCCCCTTGAGATGCTGTCCTCACCCATTTTGGACGATCACAGCTTTGTGTCACACTCTTAAACAGAAATGTGCTGGACACAACTGGGATATCATGTGACAGAAATACTGAAAGCAGGGTGATGGAAAGGGATGGGACAGGCCCGTGTCAGAGCAAACACATCCTTGGCATCAGACATAATACACTGGGAGGCAGACGGCATTCTGACGTGTAGAGAGAGCCGACTGTGCACCTCTCCGACTCTGTCCTGGTTGGTAGCTTGAGATTGGCCCTGGTGGGAGTATTTATACCAGAGGAATCGACAACGCTCCCCACTTAGCCAAATGCTAAACATTTAGCACCCCACTAGATAAAGAGGTTCGTTATTTCATCATAAAGAGGGACAATTAAGCCATGAGCTATAATAATCCTGGAGCTTACTACACTTCACAACATGACCTCAAACTATGTAAAATAAAAACGGACAATTGTGGGGGGGAATGGGCACATCCCAGAAGTAGAGAGGGCATCTCACTGCTGTCTCAGAAACTGAGATGGAGCCCGTGGCAATCCCTGCCAGGGAGTGTTCCGTGCGGGCAACAACGTGACAGCCAGGCTGAGCCAGTCTGCCAGTCCCAGCGGGGACCCACGTCCCTGTCCTGGGGCTGTGTCCCCCAGCCTGAGTTGAGCTGTCTCAGGGTGTTGTACTCACATGTGGCCACCAGGGGGAGGCGTTACCTGCAAAAATTCCGCCTCCTGGGGAGGGGCTGACTGCCCGGGGATGACCAAGCCCTCCACCCACCGTGGGCTGCTGCCCACACTGCGCAGCCCTCTCACCCTCTGTTCACTGCAAGACCCACAGTCCCCTGGTTGCCAGGCCACCAGCAGGGTCTCCTCTGGGGGTGCTCCTGCCCCTGGAGCTGGAGAGAGGGAACTTAATCTCCTCTGCTCCTCTGACAGCGCCTGGGGTCTGGATCAGTGGTTGGAAAAGCAAACTTCCCGAAGACCAGTGGGGAACCTGAAAGGTCCAGGTGGCAGGTGGGGACTGGCCAGCTGGGCACAGCAGGCCCCGTCTAAGGGCGTCTGGCAGAGATGTGGGCCCTGGGGCGTGTGTGCCTCAGCTAGTCAAGAGAAGCTTGGAAAGCTGAGTTTTTATAGGAAATCTCTCGGGTAATTTATACAGAGATGTAAACACAGGCTGGACAGCCAGCGTGAGAGCCTGCGGGGTTCGGCTTTCCGGGCTGGGGCGGGGTGCTATTTGTGGGGTCCCGTGCCCGTTAGCCACTGCTTCTCCATCCTCACCTACCAATACCCTCGATGACGGGACCCAAGTCCCGAGCTGCCCTCTGAAGCTTTGTTCTGTCTCCCCACTGGACAGCGGTGGTGCCCACAGCTGTGGACATGGTGCCCCAGGGTGACATGAAGCACCGGTCACCAGCCTGGCCCTACAGCAGGGAGTGACCAGTTCCACCCCCACGTTTGTTTCACTCATTAATAACACTGGAGACAAATCACAGAGTGAAGTGGGGGCCGGGGGGTCCTGGCATCAAGCCGCTCTCACCCTCAGTGCGTGCCAGGGGTGGGGGGGCACTTCAGTCCCCCATTCCTGGGAACACCTGCGCCCACGTGGCTGAAGGCTGGGCTGTTTCCACCTGCCCTCTGTGTGGGTATCGGGACGGGGGCGCCCACGTGCCCCAGGATGATAAAACATGGTCTTCATGAAGTCATGGGGGGTAATGTAGTTTTTGTTTTTTCCTTTTAAGGTAAAATTTTGGCAGTGTGAATCCAGTTCTCAAAAGTCATTCTGGAAACTTCCCTGGTCTATGAATCTCCTGGGTCTGGTGCCCTTGGCTGCGTCCTAACTCAGTTTCCTCATCTCTACAATAGGCAGCAGTCACGTCTCTCACGTAATGCGTGCAGCATGCTGCCTGCCCCCTGGTAGATGCCCCAGGTGGCACCTCTCAGAGGTGACTGAGGCCAGGCATCAGGTATGGCCGGGCACTAGCTGGGCGCCACCTTCCTCTGGGTCAGGTGACCTTGGCCCCTCCCTCTGCTCCACCCTGAGCTTCTGCCCAGTCAGAGGGCGTCTGCAGACGCCTCCCTGTGCCCTGGAAGCCTGGCCAGCAGGCGGAGCCTGCAGAGAGGACCAGCCAGGCGAGAAGGGCGTGTCTCAGGGCTGGGCGTGCAGGCGCGGGGTGAGTCCACCACAGCCCTGCCAGAAATTGTAGCCTGGAGGTGGGGGGTGGTTGGCAGGGCTGGCGTCCATCATAACTTCAGTTTGCACCATGGTTTTCCTCCAAGTGCATTAAAAGTAGAAAGTAATAATATGCAGGTAAATTTACAGAACTTCCATGAAATGGGCACGGCAGGGGTTACAGTCCCTACTTTCCAGATGGGGAAACTGAGGCTCCATGAGGGGGGACCAGCCCAAGATGGCCCAGCAGGTTGGCAGCAGGAGCCTGGCCACCCCCCAAACTGTGCCCTCCAGCACCGAGGAGGGACAAAGGGTCCCATCCACCTCTCCCAGACTCGAGTAGAGCACGATCGATGCCCTGGCTGACCTGCAGCCTGGCCTGGCCAACCCACCGCCTGGCCTGGCCCTCCAGCCACCACCCCTTGTCCAAAGTCCAGGGCGACCGCTGCCCACTTGGCTTGTGACAGTCTTGCAAAGGTGTTTGTCTCTTAGCGCAGGGCCAGGAGAGGTCTCGGCCGCCCAGCTGCTGCCCTGAGGCTGCGGTGACCAGTGTGTCACCCGCCCATGCACCCCACATCGCCCTCTCTGACCCATCCTTCACCCCGTTGAGCAAATACAGCCCTGACTCAGGCTGCTGGGCCAGGCCAGCCGCCGCAGAGCCGCCAGACTGGTGACCCCCTCACACCTCAGGGAAGCCTCGTGCAGGTGGAGCCAGCCTGCCTCTGGGGGATGGGATCCAGGGGAGTGACAGATGGTCTCTGTCCCCATGGTGTGGACTGAAAATGGTGGCAGCACAAGGTCAGGCCAGAGCCCAGGCCACCTTCTCCAAGAAGCCTTCCTGGGTGCCTGCTGGGAGGAAGGGCCTTGCTCAGGAGCAGCCCTGTCATAGCCGCCTCGTCTTCCGGGACCCTGAGCCCCACAAGGGCAGGGACTGCGTGTTCCTCGTCTCTGGGTCTCCCCCAGCACTGCTTTGTATGCAGTAGGTGCTCAGTAAGTGTAGAGGACAGACAGCTAGCAGACAGCTGGACAGCCTGGGTGCGAATAAGGACTGTTATTTGTTGGCTTGTATTTGTCACAGCGGGGCTGCTGCTGTGGTCAGGCTTGTACCTGGCTGGCTGGCTGTTTAATGACCGTAATTTAAATACATTTTCTTGGATACAGCGGGAGGAAGTCCTATCTCACATCAGCACCTGCTCTGAGTCTTTGCATATCCAGAGGTATATGAGGTGTGATCGAAAAAGACGGCAATGTTTAAGTAAAAAAAAAAAAAAATTACAGTAAAAGACACATTGCCATTAATCCCCCTCAAAATACTCCCCCTCACTTCAAACACACTTATCCCATCGTTCTTGCCACTTTCTGAAGCAGCTCTGGAAGTCCTCTTTCGTGAATGTCTTTACTTCATCCTCCAGCGGGCCAATGCTCCGTGTCACACATTGCCTCTGGTATGCGGCAATTTCTGTCCCATAAAAACATGACGGTGTGTCTTCATCCACCTTATTCACCGGATCTGGCACCATGTGACTTCTGGCTCTTCCCCAAAGTCAAAATGACTCAGGACATCGAGACAGCCACGACAGCACAACTAAAGACACTCACGAAAGAGGACTTCCAGAGCTGCTTCAGAAAGCGGCAAGAACAATGGGATAAGTGGTTCAAAGTGAGGGGGTTATTTTGACGGGGGTTAATGGCAATGTGCCTTTTACTGTAATAATTTTAATTTAAACATTCACCATATTTTGGGATCACACCTCATATGTACTATTCTGTCTGCATTTTCTCTGGGCATTTCCTCCAGGCATCTTCTATCTGCGCATAGACAAAATGCCCTAGACCCAGAGTCAGGCGGCAGGCTTCCAGCCTGGCTCCCCCTCTGACTTGCTGTGTGGCCTGAGGCAAGCTGGCTCCCCTCTCTGGGCCCTGGTGCCCCCAACAGTCAAGTGGAGGCAGGGTCTCCCAAGCCACAGAGGGATCCGGGAGTTGTGGGGGGCAGAATGCAGACAGCTCAGGGGCACCAACCCTGGGGGGCCAAGTCAGACTTCTGACCTGCCTCTGAAGGCAGTGAGCACCCCATCGCTGGGGGTGAGCGAGCTGAGGCTGGCCAGACAAGTCTGTGCTGAGGCCTGAGTCTCCTCACCAAGGAGCCCACAGGCGGCCCTGGGGGCTGGCACAGTGCTGCTTACCAGCGCTTCCTGCCCACCTGGGCTGGGCTAAGCTGGCTTGGGGCACGGGGAGCACAGGCAAGTATGGGCAGGTGGGGAGCACGGGTTCGCCACAGGCAGCAAGGCCGTGCCCCGTTTTAGGGGTGAGGAAGTGAGGCCTCCTGCCTGGTCACCCAGGGTTAATGGAGCACAGCCCCTCGCTGCTGCCCTCAGAGCTGCCCACTTGGCTGCTGCCCTGGCTGGCAGGCCTGCGGTGCTGGGCGGTGCGTCCCGCTTGGCGGTGGGTGGCGACAGGGGCTGGCCCTGCAGCCGGGTGGGGGCAGGGGCAGCCCGTTCCGGCTGAGAGCTGCTTAGGAAGGAAGAAGAAGACAGCACCGCCTAGCAGCCACCAGGCCAGGCCCGGCGGACCCTTTGGGGTTAAGAGGTGCTTGGGCTGCTGAGGTACGCCCCTTGGGCGGGGCGCAGGGCTCTCCCCAGTGTGGGCGGGGTTGGGGCAGGCCAGGAACTAGCCGAGACTTCTTCCTACCTCTCACTGCTGTGACCATCGACCATCCGGCTGGGTGGGCAGGACCACAGGTCACTGTGTGGGGGTGGGGGGGACTTGGAGGGCTGGGTACCCTCACTGCCCTTCTTCACAGGGTGAAGGCTGTGCCAGACCCTTTACACCATCAACCCCCCTTCATCCTACAGCTTAGGGGGAGGGCTCCTCTGGGCCCCGGGCTTTACAGGCCAGGTCAAGCCACCACCCATCTGTCTGACCCCAAGCCCTGGGGCATCCTGCGCCCTCACCCCTGGCAACAAATGGCCGCTGGGCCAACTTGGGTGGGAGAGTTGGAGGGGCCAGGGGAGCAGGTTAATGTTGCAGCAGCTGCTTCTAGAAGGCAGGAGGGGCATTGGGCTGCCCCTGCTGGGGCTGTGCCAGCCCCGCCCCCAGCCCATGTGGGAGGGGTGGAACTGGCTGGTGGGTGGGCAAAGGGCACGTGGCAGCTACCCGGGCTGGCAGCCTTGGCATTAGCGCAGCTAGAGGGAGGAGGGAGGCCAGGCGGGTGTGCTGGGCAGCGCTGCGGGCGGGGGGCAGATGCCCGGCCTGGGAAAGTCTTCCTGGCACTCACATGTGGCCAACTTCCCACGGGTAGGACACCACTCTTGGGGGCTCCTGGAAAGTTGAGGAATTTCAAGGACGGAAGGTAAGTTCAGATGTGAGCAGAGGGGTGCACCTCTGTGCCCGGGCCACCACTGCCCGAAGACAGGTGGGCTGTCAGACGGTGGGCACTGGGCCCCACTGTGGAGGGTGGGACAGCGTGTGGCAGTAGGTGAGGCGTCACTCCCACATTCCCCTCCCCCGGACCAGGTCCCATGACATCTGCGGGCCCGCGGTCAGGAGGGGGCAGGAGAGCCTCCAGGCTTGGCCACTATGTGACCTTGGTCACCTTAACGTGCCTCAGTTTCCTTCCCTGTAAACGGGGGACAATAGTCACAGCGATTCAGGGCATTTTGCAATAGCTGAGTGAGAGCGTGTGCTGTGAGCCTGGCCTGTGGAATGCACTTGGAAGTGGAAGTTGCCTTTCTCAATTAATTATTCAATTAGTATCGATCATGAGTGTTCATGTAGGTGGCACGGCCCACCTCCACACCTCGGATCACAGCCCAGTCCCTGTGCTTTTCCTGCTGATCCCAGTGCGGGCCCAGGAGGCCCCTCTGCGGCGTCCTCCCCGTGTTGGCAGGACCCACACCCAGGGACGGCCTCTCCCGCACCATCTGTCCTTAGGAGGCTGGCCCCTGTTATATTCTTATGGATGTTTCTGGCTGGGAGGCTTGAAGGAGGAGGGACGCAAGGTGAGCCCTGCAGGCCACTGGGGGAGCACAAGAGGACAGCAGAGGGGGAGGGCGGCCGGTTACCCAGCCTCTGACCCCAACCCCAGATGCCAGATGGCCTGGACCCCACTGCCTTTCCCCCCTTCTGCCTTGAGGCAAAACAGCTTCTGCCTGGAGTTGAGACGGGGGTCCCCAGGAGGGAGTCCCCAGTGTGGAGGGTTGGGTGTCCCTCTCAGGTGGCCTGCCACCTGCCCTGTGGCTCTTCCTCCACTGAGCACACCGTCTTCCCCTCCTCCCGTCCTCGTGCGCGCGCGCGCGCGCGCGCGCGCGTGTGTGTGTGTGTGTGTGTGTGTGTGTGTGTGTGTGTGTGTGTGTGCAGGGGACTCCAAGCCCTCACCACAGCCTCTGACCCTGTGCTCTCGGGGTTCCTGCCTCCCTCCGTCTCTCCAGATGCCACCACTACCCTGCACCAGGGACTTCCTCAAACACAGACCCGTGGGGGGGGGGGTGTCACAGGGCCCCCACTCTCAGGAAAGTGCCCTGAGCCCTGATGGGGCTCCCAAGGCCAGCGGGTGGGTGCTTACCCCTTCAGCCTTCCCTTTGTCCTCCCAGACTGTCTGTCTGGGTCCTGTGTCCCCCATGACCTGGTCTCCTTCTTGTCCTTAGTTCTCAGCTCCCCTCCGGTCCTCTCTGCCCTCCCACCGGGTAACCCCACGTACCCCAGATCTCATTTTGGTCCCTCCTCTCTGCCTCCCCCTGTGTCCCCGACATCCCCAAGAGCTCCCATGCTCTGTCATAGCCCCATGCACTGTGCACCCCCTGGGCTGGCCAGGATCTTCTGTCCCCCATCATGGTCCCCCCCTGGGCCCAGCCAGGGCCTGATGTGTACAAGGCCCTCAGGCACACACTGGACTAATGCATGCGCGCACACAGGCCGTGGGGCGGCAGCAGGAAAAAGGCCTGGGGGGGGCGGTCACAGCGTGGGGGCACAGTCCCCACAGCATCCAGTCCCCCCTTAGCCAGCCCCGACTATCTCACCAGCTCTCTGTGCTGCTGACACTTGGAGTCCCCATGGCCTTGCTGAGCCGAGCCCTGCGTGTGGCTGGCGCACGCCCTTGCTGGAGCCCTGCCCAGGGCTTGGGGCCGCGCCCCCTGACCAGCAGGGCTGGCTCCACCACTGAGAAGAGCGTGCCGTACCAGCGGACCCTGAAGGGGGCACAGGGCTCCTCGGAGGCGGCCCGAGGCCCAAGCCGGCCCTTGCCCAGCACAGCCAACGTCGTGGTCATCGGCGGGGGCAGCTTGGGGTGCCAGACCCTGTACCACCTGGCCAAGCTGGGCGTGAGCGGGGCCGTGCTGCTGGAGCGGGAGCGTCTGACCTCGGGGACCACCTGGCACACGGCAGGTAGGGCCGGGAGGGCGGGGACTCACTGAGGGCCCAGTTCTGGATTGACAGATAGAGGCCTGTCAGCCGAGCTGAGCGGGAAAGGACACAGGGAAAAAATTCGGGGTCTGCAGGTGAGCAGGTTGGGGGCCCTGCTTGTCCCTAAGCCTCTGAAGAACTGTGGTGGGAGGAGGGCGCAGACACACCCTGTGGAACCCCAGAGGGCGAAGCTGAGATCGGCGCTGGGAGCCAGGCTACTGCCTGTTCAGTGAGCAGAAGCCCCTTACTGGACAGAGCCACCTGCGGTGAGGGGCGTCCACGGGGCGTGGAGGATGGACGGGGAAGGGACCATCACGGTGCTGCAGAGTGGGGTCCTCCAGGGGCATCAGTCGTGTCCACGATTCTCATCCTTCTAACCAACCAGTGGGCATATATGAAGCGCCTACTGTGTGCATGGCTCCAGGGTAGCCGAGCTTCTGCCTTAACCCTGGGTTAAGTTCACCAGTTTCCGTGGGGTAAACACTCCCGCTTTGGCCAATATCATGCTAGCAGCATGAGGTCACTGAACATGGGCTAGGGAAGAGTTCGAGCATCACCCATGCCCTGTCTCCGCTGGGCCACACAGCCTCCCCCCTCCGTCACAGGCCTCACCCCTGGCCTCCCGCTTCCCGGGCTGCTCTGAAGGGAGCAGCTTTGTTGGTGAAGGGCCGTCTTTGGGTAAAATAATCCCTCTAGCCTCATAGGGCTGCCCAGTCACCCTGTGACAGCTCAGTCCAGGGCTTGGCATATAGTAGGTGCGTGATAAAGCGAGCCTTTGCTATTGTCACTCTCTGAACTGCCCAACGGCTGGGAGGCCTGCCCTGTTATAAAACTCAGCCTGGACCCTGTCGCTTCCTGCTCATCGGGGCTGCCCACGGCCGGCAGAGAAGGACCCGGGCGCTGCCTGAGATTCAGGGGCCTTGGGCTTCTTCGGTGGGTGGGGGTGCACCGTCATGCTGTGACTGATGTGCCCCGCTCCTCCCCGCCAGGCCTGCTGTGGCAGCTGAGGCCCAGCGACGTGGAGGTGGAGCTGCTGGCCCACACGAGGCGCGTGGTCAGCCATGACCTGGAGGAGGAGACGGGGCTGCACACGGGCTGGATACAGAACGGGGGCCTGTTTATCGCGTCCAACCGGCAGCGTCTGGACGAGTACAAGAGGCTCATGTCGGTGGGTATTCCCCCGCCAGAGCTAGAGGGGATCAAGGGGGTGGGTGCGCCCCCTGCTTGTGGGAGGTGGGGCAGCATGGTGCAGGGAAGACCCCTGACAGATCTGGGTTCAAACCCTGGAAATGCCCTTGCTGGCTGGGTCGCCTGGGATGAGTGCCTTTGTCTCTCTGAGCCGCGGCATTTTTGCCTTTAAAATGGGACCATATTGCAGAGCACAGGGTGCCGAGCCTCGGAGGCAGGCAAGGCCCCATCAGCGGGAGTTACCATCATGTGTGGTGCTCACAGATACAAGACGAATAATGACACTGCACCACCCAGGAGGCTTTGACTGCCCTTGGACAGGACTTAGGGAGCCCGGTTGTGGGGGAGACGGGGGAGAAAGACTTGGAGGGCTCTGCATTGGGGTGGACCACTGCTTTCTAACCGGAACAGCCAGCCTGGACCCCAGATTCCAGGGCATAGCTGAGACAAGCTCCTCCAGCAATTCACCCCTTATTGAGCGCTGACTGAATACCGGCTCAGGGCCCCGTGAGCAGGGCCGGCTGCGTGGCCAGCAGAGGCTCACTGTCACAGGGACGCTGAGCTCCCCTGGGTGCTCAGGCTAGAAGCCGGGGCAGCCGGCTTCCTTAGAACAGGCCTGGCTCTCTGGGATTAGGAAGTGGCCCATTCTGCCTCCTGCTCCCCCTTAGCTCGCTCATCAGCGGGGATAGAGGTGGCCCGAAGGAAGCCCCCAGCCCACCTTTCAGCTCAAGTGCCCATGCTGCTGAGTGAACTCTCACCACTTTCCATTCACAATTCTCAGAGAATCTGATTGGCTCAGCTCATCTCTAATTGGGTGGAGCCTGTCCTGATTGGCAATGCCTGGGGACACGATGGGCTGTGCTGGGGCCAATCAAATGTGATGAGTCAGAGGCCTGGGACAGAGGATCTCACTGGTGTCTGTCTGGGGAGCAGGTTTGACTAGAGAAGCCCCAAATATTAGACCTGTGGGGGTTATTTTTATTTATTTTATATAATAAGCCCTTATGTGCCAGGGACTGGTGTAAGCTCTTCAGACGTGTCAACCACATAAGCCATTATCAGCCTCATTCACCCAGGGGATGCCAAACCGCTTGCCCCAGGTCACACTGCTAGTGTCAGCTGGATCGGGAAAGGCAGGCGAGCCCCAGAACCTACTCCTGAGAATCACACCATGCCCCTTACCCTTCTGTGGAGCTGGCACAAAGGACCAGGGCTGCAGGGCCGTGGTGACCCGCCAAGGCTTCCTGGAGGACGCCCGGCCCCAGCGGAACTTTGGAGGCCCAGACGGGGAGGCCGTCGATCCCCAAGGTCTCAGTTACTTTCTTCCGGGTCCCTTAGCTGGGCAAGGCCTATGGCGTGGAGTCCCACGTGCTGAGCCCGGCAGAGACCAAGGCACTGTATCCGCTGATGAACGTGGACGACCTCTACGGGACCCTGTATGTGCCACATGATGGTACCATGGACCCCGCCGGCACCTGCACCACCCTCACCAGGGCCGCCACCGCCCGCGGAGCACAGGTACCAATGGCCACTGGGCCCTGAGCTCCCTGTTCCCGGCCTGCGAACCCAGAGGGCAGAAGGCCAGTGAACAGGTGCCCCTCTCCACGTGCTGTGACCTTGGGGCAGGTGGGCCCTCTCTGAGGCTCCTGATCTGCTCCTGCAAAGGTGGGCGGTGCCTCAGTCTGTCTGCAGAGTCAGCTGCCTCCTTCTCTGAGGTTCTGGCCCCACCGGACAAGTGACTCCTCTCAAAATCTTTCCTTGTAGTTTTTATCTTCTTTTGTCTCAAAGACACATAATTGTAGAAAAAATTAGAAAAGACAAATAAGCCAAGAAGAAGATATAACATCACCCCAAGGTAACAAGTGTTGACATTTTAGTTTTACTCCAAATACATTTTCTGCGAAAACGGATATGCTCCTGTGTGTACAAACAGAACCAAACTACACTGTGATGTGACCTTTTTACCAAACAGTAGGCTGCAAACATCTTTTCGTAAATGAGCCTTGATTTTTTTTTCTTTTACGTCTATTTCTAAAAAGGAGTCACTGTATTGGGGACAAGTTCTCCAAATCAAGGAATGTATGCATTTAGTTTCCGGCTCTGTGATCACATTATTTCCCCGGTCGTGTCACATAAAGCCTGTCCTAGAAGAAGCAGAGGTCTCAGGCCCCATCAGGATGGGGTGCTGAGAGGGTGGGTGGTCAGCACCCTCAAAAGGAGCAGCTTCTCTCACGCCCAGGTCATTGAGAACTGCCCAGTGACGGGCATCCGTGTGCGGACAGATGACTTTGGGGTGCGGCGGGTCGCAGCTGTGGAGACAGAGCATGGCTCCATCCAGACACCCTGCGTGGTCAACTGTGCAGGTGGGAATGGCATTTCTCCTAGCTTCCCAGTGGCTCTGCTGGCAGCTCCCTAATCCTGGCCGTTCTCTGGGGTGACTGACCTGGGAGAATCACCACCAAGGTGGACAGGCCTGTAGAGGCACCTCATGCTCCCCTAGCTGGCTGCCCCCAGCAGGTGCCACAGAGCTGACCTGCCGTGCTCTATCTGCAGGAGTGTGGGCGGGCACTGTGGGCCGGATGGCTGGAGTCAAGGTCCCGCTGGTGGCCATGCACCATGCCTACGTCGTCACCGAGCGCATCGAGGGGATCCAGGTAAGTGACCAGCCCCAGGCAGCATGTCAGCTGTGGGGGGCTGGGAGCTGGCCCTGAACCCCGGCACTAACAGGCGGTGTGACCGTGTGCGTCCCCTCACTACCCTGGGCCTCGGCCGCCTCGTCTGTGCAGTGGGCACCAAGACACTGGGTACTCTGGGTGGCGTGACTTCAGAGCTGTATCCCGGTGCTGCCAACCCCCTGGCCTTCGGGGCACAGCTTCTTGTTGATGCCCAAACCTGCCCTGCCCCGTGCAGCCACCCCAGCTTTTTCCCACGTTCTGTGCCCCAGGCGTTTCGGGGAACCCACATATTAGCGTGCTCCCAAGTATGCACCGATTCCCGGCCCTGGATGTACCTCCTCCAAGGGAGGCAGCAGCGGCCTGTGCACCCCTGCCCTCTGCCCTCTGCCCTCTCCTCCCCTCCATCAGCTCTGGTGGTGGCTAGTAGCTTCCTGTCACCTTGTCATTCACTTCTCCTCTTTCTCTCCATCCCTTCCTCATCCCTCCATGCATTCCCCATCCACCCTTCCCTCCATCCCTCCATCCACTTATTATCCCTCCATTAATTTCCCTCCCTCTTTCCATGTTGCCATCCTTCCACTCATTCATACTTCCTTTGATCCCTCTCTCCATCTAGCTCTCCATCTATCCATCCGTTTATCCCTCCCTCCCTCCCTCTCTGTACCCACCCATCTCTCCATCATCTATGCGTTTCTTATTCCATCTCTCCCCCAGCAGACACTGGTTGGATAAGCTCTGTGTCCCAGGCCCTATTCTAGAAGCTGGGGCTGTGATGAGACAGGGGCCGAGGTTTTGTCTGGGTGGAGCTGGGGAGAAGGTGCAGGCACACGGACAAGCAGCCCCAGAGCAGGCCGACCGGGCCCTGGAAGGACCCCCATCAGTGGACCAGGGGGGCTCCCTGTGGGTGCCATGTCTGCAGGGTCTTCTGAAGTATCTGAAGGGTGGCAGAGCAGGGACGAGGCGGGAAGGCGAGGAGAGCAGCTGGACCTGCAGGCAGTTCAGCGTCGTGGGCGGGGCGGAGGGGACGCGGATGGGGCGGGTATGCGATGAGACCACCCTTGTTTAGGGTCAGGCCTCAGCAAAGAGGGTCCTGGAAGCCTTACCCTGCCCTGGCCGAGCCTGGCTTCCCTCACCAGGGACAGACCGGGCTGGCTGCTCGGCGGGCCGCGGTGGAGGAGAGAGTGAGAGCTGGAATGGGGGACCGGGGTCCCCACCCGATCCTGCTGCTCCTCTTGACACAGGGTTTCCCGGGTTCACCACGAGCTTACTGGAATCCCTCACATGCCTCCCGGGGGTTTCTGTGTGCCGGGAACAGAGACAGATCACTGCAGCCAGTGGCAGGCCGCGCCTGTGGCCCCGGTTCTGTGGGGAGAGCTCCCGGGTGGCCTCCAGGGGTCGCCCTCAGGCTGCCGTGGGCTTGGGAGGGCTGAGCGAAAGCTGGAGTCAGGCTGAGGGGCGGGGCAGGGGCTGTGTCCTGGGGAAGAGGACCCCAGGGCGTCCATAGAGCCAGGGCCGCGGCCTGTCTCTTCACGGGCTGTGCCTCCTGAGGCCTGACGTGGCGGCACCTTCCAGGCAGAGGCCAGGCAGACCCGCTAGGACCGCTCCGTGACTCTCAAAGTCAGAGTCAAGCTGGGGTCACTCACGTTACTCACAAACACTGCCCGCACACAGGGACGCTGTGTGCTGCTGGGAGCTCCAGGCTGCACCAGCCCCAAGAGCTCTGAGACACTTTGAAGGAGAAAAGAGGAGCTATGTGGCTGGGAGGGAGTTACAAACGCTCCCTTCCACCATGCTGGCCCAGTGGGGGAGTCTGGAAGGCCAGCCTCACCGGGGGCCACCCCTGCGCAGTAAGAATCTAGGAGAGGAGAGAGCCTCTGGCCCTGACCTCCCACCAGTGTGGTCTCACCCCTTGGCAGGTTGGAAACGGGGGCTCGGAGGTATGTGCTGGGAGGTCCGACGCCAGGCCTGTCCCCAGGGCGCAGGCCACCTGCCCACCCGTCCACTTCTGGTCGGGAAGTTCCTTGGGCTTAGCAGCCTTGCACCTTAGGACACTCTGTGCCCAGACCTGAGCCTCAAGCTATCAGGGGTCCTGGGGTCCCCGCTGGCCGGTGAGGGCTTAGGGCTTGAAGCTTGTGGTCTTTATCTTTCTTCTTGGGCGGCCCGAGGGCTGTGCTGCCCCAAGGGCCCCCAATACTGAGGAGCTGTGCCGGTCTTGGGTTCTAGCCGGGCACAGCCCCAAATCCTCCGTGTCCTTGTCCCTTCCCTCTCTGGGCCTGGCCTCTGCGTCCGTCCAAAGCGGTGGCCGCGTGGTCTCCCACGGTTTCTCATTCCCACCATCCTCCGCGTGCTTGGACAGAAGCTGCGCTGCTGGGGCGCAGAGCGATGGAACAGACCCAGGCTTGGGGGCTGCCTCCTGATCCTCCATTACCCAACCCGGGCAAGTCAAGGGACCCCCTGAGCCTCAGTTTCATTTTCTGCAACAAGGGTAAAAAGTGTACCTACCGCGCGGGGCTGTGCTGAGGGAGGAACCGAGTGATGGGGCTGAAGGCTGAGCGTGGTGCCTGGCACGCAGCAGGTGCTCATTACGTGGCAGCTGTGGTGAGGGGCATGGGGTGGTCCAGCCAGCTGGTGCTTCAGAGGAGGAGACCAGGATAGGCTGGAGCCATCAGGTGGCTTCCTGGAGGAAGCAGCCGGCAGGGTTTAGACGGCGTCGGGGGCAGGAGAGGCAGATGGTTGGGAGGCTGGGGTGTCAGTGGGACCAGGGTCATCCCTGTAGGGTGGGCTGCTCTGTGGAGAGGACTGTGAGGGTGCCCAGTGGGCACCGTGGGTCTGAGCTGAGCATGTGCTGGGCCCTCCTGGGAACACCCATCCTGCTGGAAGAAAAGTCAGGGGCTTCCCTGGCCACCAGGTGTCCCCATCGTCCTGCTCGATGGAGCTTGGGTGTAGTGACAATAGAGGTGATGATGTCACTGTCATTATTTCTGAAGGGCTCAGTCTCCGAGGACTTCCCACGTGCCTCCTGACGACAGCCCCTCCGGGCAGGCGTTCTTACTCCAATCCCACGGAGGAGGCGGACAGCTGGGAGGCTGCGGTGGGAGGGAGGGGCACCGGCCAGGTTAGCCCTTCCAGCCCCACCTGTCCTGGGAGATGGCGCAGAGCAGTCGCACCCACATGTCCGTCTCCAGGGCAGGGGTACGCGAGAGAGGGGTTGAGAGAAGGCAGCTCCTCCAGGGCTGAGGGCCGCAGTGGAGGTGGGCTCCCCCGCTCCTGCTGGCTCTCTGAAAAGATTTGGTTTGGCTTGGTTGGTTTGTTGATTGGTTAAATCGGTCAGGGCCTGCCATATAGTGACAATATAAATACTGTTAACTCCTGAGCAAATAGTGTCCAACTTTTTGTGTTTCCTGGAATTATAGTTTTTCTCCTCTAGTTGCTCAGTTTTCTATGTTAACTGTTACTAATTCTTCTATCTATCTATCATCTACCTTTCTATCTAACCTTCTCTTCATTCCCCAACCCCAAACCCATTATCAGTCTCTCCCCATTTGCCGCCCCACCCCCAACCTTTGATAATCACTAACCTGATTTCCGTCTCTATGGATTTTCCAATTCCAGACATTTTATAAAATGGGGTCATACCGTATGTGACCTTTGGTGCCTGGCTTCTTTTACTCAGCATGACGCTTTCAAGGTTCATCCACGTGGTACATGTAAGAAGATTTCGTTCCTTTTTGTGTCGGAACAGTATTCTATTGTGTACCACGTTTTATTGGTCCATCCGTTGATGGACATTGGAGTGGTTTTGCCTACTATAAATAGGGCTGCTACGAACGTTCAGTCTTTGTGTGGACATACTCATATGTCTTCATCTCTCCTGGGTAGATACCTAGCAGGGGAGAGGCTGAGTCAGATAGTAACTCTATATTTAACTTTTTGAGGTAGCGTCAGACTATCTCAAAACAGCTGCACTGTTTTACATCCCCCCAGCCGTGTGTGGGGTTCTGACGTCCTCACCAGCACTCGTCACTGTCTGAGTCCAGCCAGCCCAGTGGGGTGAAGCGGTGTCTCACTGCAGTTTTCATTTGCGTTCCCCTGATGACTAATGGTGTTGAGCACCTTTCCATGTGCTTATTGGACATTTGTATGTCTTCTTTGGAGCAATGTCTGTTGAGTCCTTGGCTTGTTTTTAAATCGAGTTATGTGTCTTTTTATTGAGTTATAAGAGTCCTTCCAATTTTCCGGACATAAGACCCTTCTCAGATTTACGATTTGCAACTATTTTCTCCCATTCTGTGGGTTGTCCTTTTACTTCCTTGATTGTATTGTTGGCAGCATAAAATTTCTTAATTTTTTTTTTTTTTTTTTAGATTTTACTGGGGAATTGAGGGAGGAAAACAGCGTTGGGGAATCGGGGGAGGGGAACAGACGAGTTGCTGTCCTTTTGTTCTTCAGTCTAGTTGTGGAGGACGTCGCTTTACTGGCCCATGTTGATATTATCATTGCGCTCTTCCCAGGTGAGGCAGATTGGTCACCGACCATTGGACGGCCGCTCACGGCGGCTCTTGGCAGCTCACGCCAGCTGCCAGCCACTCACGGTAGCTCACAGCAGCCCACTGCAGCCTATGTTGTCGCCAGCGACTCACAGCAGCCCAGCTCCAGGTTGAGCTGTTGTTCACCATCTTAGCTGTAGAGGGTGCAGCGTCACTGGCCCTCATGTGGGATCCAAACCGGGGCCCTGCTGCTCAGAGCTGGTGTCCCAAGCCAGCTTTTAACCAATGTGCCACTCGGCTGGCCCCAAAAGTTCTTAATTTTGGTGACGTACAACTGATGTGTATTTCTTTTGTCCTTTGTGCTTTTGGTGTCATGCTTAAGAAGGCGTTTCCTAACCCAAGGTCACGAAGTTTTACTCCTATATTTTGTTCTAAGACCTTTATAGGTTTAGTTCTTATACTTCGGTCTGTGGTCCACTTTGATTATGTTCTGTGTACGGTGTGAGAAAGGAATCCAGCTTCTTTCTTTCTTTCGCACGTGGATACCCAGCTGTCCCAGCACCGTTTGTTGAAGAGTCTTCTCTCCCCCACTGGATCGCCTGGGCCCCCTTGTTGAAAATCAATTAAGCATAAATGTGAAGGTTTACTTCTGACCCTCAATTCTACCCCTCGGACCTACATGTCCGTCCTTAGGTTTTACCACTCCGTCTGGATTACAGTAGCTTTGTAGTGAGTTTTGAAATCAGGAAGTGTAAATCCTCCATATTTGTTCTTCATTTTTAAGATTGATTTGAATATCCTGGGCCCCTTGCATTTCCATATGAATGTTAGGGTCAGCTTGTCAATCTGCCAAGAAGCCAGCTGAGACTTCGATAGAGATTGTGTTGACTCTGTAGATCATTTTGGGGAGTGCTTTCACCTTAACAGCAGTCTTTGTTTTGTAAACATGGCATGTCTTTTCACTTAAGTCTTTAATTTCTTTCAAAAATATTTTCTAGTTTTTAAAGTATGAGTTTTGCATTTGTTTTGTTAAATTTACCTATTTAGTAAGCTTTAACAAAATTATTTTTGGTGTGTAAATGGAATTATTTTCTTAATTTCATGTTTGATTGTTCACTGCTAGTGCATAGAAATACAACAGTTTTTGGTTGCTTTCTTATATATCGACCTTGTATCCTGAAACCTGTTGAACTATTTTTTTAGCTGTCATAGTTTTTTAGTGGGTTCTTTAGGATTTTTCTATATGCAAAATCATGTCATCTGCAAATAGAGGTAGTTTTACTTCTTCTCCAACCTGGATATCTTTCATATTTTTCTTTGGGCCTAATTGCCCTGGCTAGGACCTCCAGTGCCATGTTGAGTAGAAGTGGTGAGAGTGGGCAGCCTTCTCTTGGCCTGATCTTAGAGGAAAAGCTGCAGACAAGTCTGTGTTACCTGTGGGTGTTTCTGAGATACCCTTTATCAGGAAGTTCCCTTCTATCCTTAGGTTGTTGAGTGTTTTATCATGAAAGGTGTTGGGTTCTGTCCAGTGTTTTTCTGCCTCTGTTGCGATGATGAGCGGTTTTGTCCTTTGTTGATGTGTTGTTGTATTACACAGCTTGATTTTGAGATGTTAAACCAACCTTGCATTCCTGGAATAAATCCCATCTGGTCATGGTGTATCATCCTTTTTACATGTTGCTGGATTCAGTTTGCTAGCATTTTGTAGAAGATATTTACATCGATAGTCATAACTGTTGCGATTTTCCACAAGACATTTCAATAGATCTGCCAAACACCTATTATTATTTCCTGCATTCTCGTACACATCAGAGAACTCACACAAAGTCTGTGAGTCCCTGTTCCCTCTCCTGGAGGTCTCTGCCCACTGCCTTCTGATGTCCATTTGGACTGATGGCCTCTCAGCCGCTGCTCAGCTGTTACCCTGGGACCTTAGCCACCCCTATTCTGCTGGGGCTGCTGCTCTCTGGACCCATGACATGCTGTCTGGTCATTTTCTGAGAAGGGGCACATGAAGTAAATGCTTCTGTGTCCATGAATGTCTGAAAAAAAAAATCTTTATTATGTCCTTACACTTGATCGGTGGATTGACTAGGTCTAGAATTCTGCATTTAAAATAGTTTTCTGTCAGAGTTTTGAAGACTTGGCTCCAGGCCTCCCAGCCTCCAGAACTGTGGTTCCTTTGTTTAGGACCCACCTGTTCACCTCGTGTTTTCTGACATTTGACCCCAATGTGGCCTCGGTGCAAGCCTGGTCCATTCACGGGGCTTGGTGGCACTTGTGGCCCTTCAATATGGAGGTTCATAATTTTCAATCAGAGAAATCGTCTTGGATTATTGCTTCGATGTTTCCTTCTGCCACATTTTCTCTTCCTGGAACCCCTGTAAGGTGGACGTTGGACCTTCAGGATTGACTTTGATTTCCTTTTTTTTTTGGTTCCTGATTTCAATTTCTTCATCTTTTTTAGCCTGATATCTGGAAGATGGTCTTGGCCTTATCTGACCCTTCTGTTGAACTTTTCGTTTTGATGGTCATATTTCATGTAAAGATGTCTTCCTTGATCTGGGATTGATCCTTTTCCATAGCGCCCTGTCTTACGGACCTACTCTTCTCAGGTCTCTGAAGTCCTCAGGGTGGTTTCACTTTCTGCAGGCTGCCTGGAAGGTTGGAGGGGAGGCGAGGAGAGCCTCTTGCAGGGGGTTGAGGGGCAAGCCCTCTTCTTTGGTGAGGGACCCCAGTGTCAGCGTCTTGAGCCTTCCTCAGGCCGCTCAGTGTCTCCACAGAGGAGTCTCCGACCTGCTGGTGGCGGGGGTGGTGGGGAGGCAGCCCACTCCTCACCTCCCCCCACACACCCCCGCCGCCAGCCTGGAGCCTCTGGGGGTCCACTTCTCCAGAGACAGACCTCAGGGCTCCTGCAGGGCAGGGCCAGGCCCTGGGCTGCACGGGGTGGGGATGGGTCCAGCTGCTATGAAGAGACCCTCGCTCATCTTCCTGTTCACATAAATGCACACGCACACACATTCTCTTGCACTCACACACCCATGCGCACGTGTGCACGTGCGTGTGCGTACACACACGTACTCTGCCTATCACCCCCATGCAGAGGGTTGCCACAGGCTCGGCTTCTCTGCAGATTGGAGGGGACAGAGGGTGGCACACTGGCCTGACTTGTTCAGTCTCCCTTCCTCCAAACCCAAGCGATGGCAACGCCCTCATCCGTGCACTCTGCACCCTCCAGCGTTGGTTGAGACCTCGCCGTCTGCGGTTGTCTCCCCTGCCCTCTTACCTTTGTGGATTATACCTTCTTTTTCCTCCCTCCTTCCTTCCCTCCCTTCCTCCCTCCTTACCTCTTTGCTGCTATTTTATGGATTTAGGGGAAGGAGAGCCTTGAAAGGGCCTGGTTTGTCCACTGTGTAACCCGAGGCCTGGGTCCACTCTGTCCTCAGCGTCCTACAGCAAAGAGGATGTGGGTGGGCCCACGGTGGGCCCGGGAGCCCTGGCGGAGCGCCAGGCCCACTGCCTAGCCTTGGCTGACCCTGAGCCTCTCTGCTCTGCCTTCCAGAATATGCCCAACGTCCGCGATCATGACGCCTCGGTCTACCTCCGCCTCCAAGGGGACGCCTTGTCTGTGGGTGGCTACGAGGCCAACCCCATCTTCTGGGAGGAGGTGAGGCATGGAGGGAGTGAGGCAGGGCCTGGGGGCTGCATCTCAGTGTGGAGAAGCCTTCTTCCAGACAGCCCACCCCCTGAAACTCCTTGGGTGCACACCTGAGAAATGGCAATGTCCCCGGCCCCCAAGGGTCAAACCCACTTTTCTCCAGTCCCTGAAGGACCTGGTACACAGGTAGATCCAGACCTGGGGCAGGTGGAGGGCTTGCCTCAAAGCATCAGCAGTTAGAGCCTGCGAAAATGTAAAATAATGGCTTTAGAAGATCATGCAGACATTTAAGTCCTGTGTCCATCCATCAGCAAGTGACTCTGTGCACACCCCCACCCCTGCAGCTGCAAGAGCATCTCCCCAGGCCTGGGCCACTCTCCTGGCAGCTTCTGGGTTGCGTGCAGACCCAGCAGCCCCCTCAGCCCCCTCAAACGTTTGTGGACCATCCTTGCCCTTATATTCATTCCTTTAGTCCACAAATTGAAAGACTAAGTGACCACTTTTGGTCAGAGATTGTTTTACTTTCTGTGGAAAGAGAGAGAACTAAGATAAAAGTCCTTGTCCCAGGAAGCCTGTATTTTGGTGGGGAGACATACAATAAACACAGAAGTAATGCAATTATGGACGGTGATCTGTGCACTGAATGAAGTTAGCAGGTTAAGAATAAGTCTAGGGGGACTGAAGTGGAAGGATGCCCTTCAGACTGTGGTCAGGCAGGGCTCCCTGAGGAGCCAACATCTGAGCAGGGCCCTGCAGGTGACGAGGTGGGCAAGGAGCTGCCCCAGGTGGAGGTCAGGCCCCGAGGTCAAGCTTGCCCTTCTCAAAGAACTGAAAGGAGATGTGGGCAGGGCTGGCTCACGTAGGACCTCGCAGACCACAGGAGCTGCGGGGAACTCAAGCCACGTGAGTCTTGAGAGCAAGACGGGGTGTGACCCGAAATAGGAGGCGGTTGATGGCGGGCAGGGGGGCAGGGCCTCCAGGTAGAGGCCGTGACAACGATCAAGGGCAGAGCTGGCAGGACCTGAGCCTGGGCGGGGTCCGGGGTGCAGACAGGCCCTGCTGCCGGGTTGATGAGGGGGAAACAAGCTGGGGACACTTGTGGGGGACCAGCTCAGCCCTGCCACTCACTCGATGTGGGGAAGCCGCAGCTCCCAGAGGCAGCCGTCACAGCGCAGGTCCTGGTCCACCTCCTCAGGTGTCCGACAAGTTTGCTTTCGGTCTTTTCGACCTGGACTGGGATGTGTTCACCCAGCACATTGAAGGTGCCATCAACCGGGTCCCCGTGCTGGAGAAGACGGGGGTCAAGTCCACGGTGTGCGGCCCAGGTGAGCAGGAGGCCTGGAAGCTGGGGGTGGGCATCCTTGGGGCCTTTGGGCCGACCTGTGCCAGGCATGAATCTGGGCATCCCTACACTCTCCTTCCAGCAGCCCTGGGTGGCGGGCATTGCTTTACTCCTCTCTGCAGGCCAGAGACCTGGGCTTGGCGGGGGCAGAAATTTGCCCCCCGTTGGGCACACAGCCAGGCTTGTTTCCACCCCAGCCTGTGCTCCTCATCTCCACTCAGCTGGTCGCCGAACTTGGTGTTTTCATTGTAAAATGGGGTGGACGCCCCTCCCAGCACCCTGTGAGGCTGAGTGAGGGGAGGTGGCCAGGCCCTTTCCCGATGCCACCCTCACAGGGCTGTAGAGCCCCTGTCCAGCCCAGCCTCAGACCCTGCTCTCCCCGCCCCCCACCTGCCCAGGACTCGGGGCTGCTGGTCTCACCCCTCTGCTCTCCGGCCTCAGCAGCCAGCACCTCAGGGCCACACACCCATTCGGCGTGGGACGGCCGAGCTCAGCCCTCCTGGCCGCTGGGAGAGCTGGAGCCGACAGGTGTCCGTGAGCGAAGGCACTTAGCTCCCGGGGCCATGCAGGACGCAGCTCCTGACCTGCCTGCTGGCCAGTGCACAGGCTGCGGACACTCAGACCACAGAGCTGACGTGTTTGGCCAAGGCCACCAGCTCATTCCTGCAGGGCCCGCTGGCTGGGCCAGGCTTTGGGGGTCGAAAGGTGTTCTGACACATCCCCGTGCGAGTAACTCACAGCTCGACAGGCAGAAATAAGCGCCCGATGACACTCAATGGCCTGGGACCGCGCCATCCTGGGATGGGCCCGGGAGCTAAGGGACCCCGGGTACGGGACGCTGATATAGAGTGAACAGGTCGTCTGAGCTGGGTCTCAAGGCCGTGTGCAGACGGAGAAGATCCCAGAGTAAGATTCCAGGCCAAGGGGCGAGATGAGCAGGGGTGTGGTATGGGGGAGCGCACACGGCGTTGGCTCAGCTCCTTCCGACTGCTGAGCGCCTCCCCCCCCCGTCACCCCCCTCCTGCCCCCTGCCTGCTTTCCACCTACCACTCACCCCCAACGCCCCCTGCCTGCCCTGCGCTGAGAGCCTGTTAGACGCTGAGCAGAGCTCACATGGTGGCAGCCCCAGGAGGGGGGGCTCCAGGGCAGGGGGGCAGCCTGTCCCAGGGCGAGACACAGGGCTGAGGCTGCTGGCCTGGGGTCCTGGCAGAGGGGGTCTCTGGGAGGCAGCTCTAGCTGCCTGGAGCTTGATGGTTGCTTCTGTGACAAGCACCCACAGCATCATTCATTTGATTTCATCCTGCACCAGCTGGCACCTCGTCTGCACCCCGGGCGGTTGGGCGGCTGCAGCCCAGTGGGGCAGATGCTCTGATAAGAGTACAGGGGTGGTAGGCGCAGAGTGGTCCCCCTCCCCGAGGAGGGACAGCCAAACCATCCCTGAGGGGGAGTATTCTGTGCGGGGGGGAGCAGGCCGTGTGTGGGCTGGAGACATACCACCCCCATCGTGGTTCCAGCAGAATCACACGGGTACCCCCTCCTTTCTGGCACATGGAGGACCTCTTTAGCCCTCAACAAAGGCAACAAAGGAGTTGGGTGAGCCTTGCCGCATTGCAGGGCCGTGGAGAGGTTCAGATACAGCGTGGCCCAAAGGGAACATTGCGTCTGAGGCTCTGAGTTCCCTGTGCCTCAGTGCCCCCGCCTATGACATGGGCGACAGAGCACCTACTCAGCAGGTGACTGAGGACAAGCCACACATAGGCGCAGGGCACGCCCGGGCCAGCCATGAGCGAAGTGGACAGCCAGAGGCCAGTGCGCTAAATGATGTCCGCAGGCCACGCAGGGAGTGAGGGGCGGAGCCGGACAGGAGTGAGGAAGGGTCCCGACGCCCAGGGGCTATGGCCTGCCTGGTGGCCAGCCCTCTCCATCTCAGCACACCGGATGTCCACCCAGCCGCCGGCCCGGGCTACTGTAATCCTCTCGGCACATAAGGAGCCTTTGGTGAGAGGCCAGTGTCCCCAGGAGAGGCTTGTGGGGCGCAGGACCCAGGATGGCAGCACCCCTGAGCGCTGGATCCAGGGTGCAGAGTGCGGGAGTGGGCCGGCGACTCAGTGTCCCCGGCAGCCTCCCTGGGGACTGGCATGAGAAACACAGGCCTGAAACACTGCCAGGGGCACAGGCAGCCTGGAGCAGCCTCGGTTAATTAGACTGGGGACCCATCACTCCCATGTGAGGACATCCTGCGTCTGGGTTCCCGGCTGTGCGGGAGGTTTCTGGGGAAATCAGCATTTCTTCTTGCCAGGAGGACAAGCACGGTCAGGGATCACGGGCCTCTGGAACACAACAGGGAAGTACCCCTGACTTCGCGGAAGTGGTGGTGGGGGTGTGGAGGGGGCCAGGCAGAGCTGTCATTCCAGGGTCGGGAGGTCGAAGCCAAGGTGAGGTCGTCTGCCCTGCCTGGAGGTCCCATGCGTCCTGCGTCCTGGTCTTGCTCAGTCTTGAGTCATTTAGTAAACATTCAAGAGACCCTTGTCCCCCGAAACCCTCCCGCTGGCTCTCCTTAGATTTCCTTTGAGGTTGTTCAGAACTTCCTGCCTGCCTGGGGCCTGGAAACATCTCTGGCTCTCCCACGATGCTCCCTGGGTCGTCCCCAAACATAGCTGCGGCCTCTCCTCCTCTCCACCCCTGCTGTCTCCTCTGAGCCGTCCGGCCTCTCACACCTGCGCCCTCCTGGCCTCCCCCAGAGCCCTTGCAAGGAGGCCTCCCCCAGAGCCCCTGGGGAGCTCTACACCTTTCTGCCTTCCAGGATGCCAGCCTTCCCTGCTGTTGGAAGCCCAGGTCCCCTAGGGCTGGGGCCTCCTTCAGCTCAGATGCTGTCCCCCCAGGCCGGGCCCTGATCACCGCAGGGAATAGGACTGAGCTCGTTACCAGAGGTGAAAAACTTGGTCTGGGAGCCAGCAGCTCTGACCAGTGGCCCCAGGTCCATGGTTAATTAACAGGGTGACCTGGGATAAATTATACTGAAAAAGCAATTTCCTCATCGATGACCTGGGAAACAGTACTGCCTGCCCGAAACGGCTGTGAGGAGCAGTCAGCCCTGCACTCACTCATGACCCCTTATCCCACTGCGCCTTCTTACCAGACATTCTCTTCTTTGCTTATTTGCACACTTCCTCTCTGCCTGCCTCACTCTCTCACTCTGTCGGCTCCCTGAGGGGCAGGACTTGTCCAGAGCTGACTCCCAGGGCCAATCCCTGGGTACACATGGGTGGGCTCCACATATCTGTAGACAGAGTAACCCACAGACTTATGAGCTACATACCATGATCCCAGTTTTACAGATGAGGGAACTAAGGCTCAGAGAGGTGAAGTGACTTGTCCAGGGCACGCAGCTAGGAAGCGGTGAAGCGAGGTTGGAACCCAGGACTGGCTGCGAAGTCCAGCTGTTGTAATTATGCCTGAGGGTCCTTCTCCCTCTGTATCCTGGCCTCTCTGCCCGATGCATGCTTGCAGCAGACAGAAGTAGGGGGCTTGGGCCCCTTTCCCAAAGAACTATGATCATTGGATGTGAGAACGATCCGGCTGCAACATCTATCACCCTCCTGATCGCCAGGGTTGATTCGGCGATCTGGCTGGCTGGGCGGGTGTCCCCTTCCTCCCTCACCCTCCATGTGCGTCCCTCCCGAAGCTGCACGCTCGGCTGAAGAGGACGACCTTCCCCGATAGAGGAGAGGACCGTTCTTCGGTCAAGGGTATATGAGTAGCTGCTAGAACCTCCAAACAAAACTATGATCATCCATTCAGAGAACATTTATCAAGCACCTACTGTGTGCTGGGCCCTGTGCTAGGCCTCAGGGCACAGCGGTGAGCAAAGCTCGGTCCCTGCCCAGTCGGTGCTCATGGTCCAGTGGGCAAGAGTGATGGCAAAGATGCAGCAGCGAGGAGGAGCCACACGCTGTGATGGGGGCTCACGGAAAGGCCCCCGGGAGAATGGCTATGGCCGTGAGACACACCTGGAACCCACAAGGCAGAGCCTGGCTCAGCTCAGCGGGGCTCTGGCATAAACGGCAAGGAGCTCAGGGGAATGTGGCAGAAGCCATGAGAGAGGCTCCCTGGGGGAAACGGCCTTGAGCTGGGTCTTGAGGATGAGGAGGGTCTGGATGAAGGAGGCACTTGCAGACCCAGCTCGATTACTGCCTTCTAGGGACACGTCACTCCAGGTGCATGTGGCCTGGAGGGAGGTTCAGGTCTCTCCTTCCTTTCAGAGTCCTTCACACCTGACCACAAGCCCCTGATGGGGGAGGCACCCGAACTCCGGGGATTCTTTCTGGGCTGCGGCTTCAACAGTGCAGGTGAGTGCTGGCAGCATCCCACCAGGCACCCCTGTGACCTCTCATTCAGTTCTCAGAGCTCTCCCAGGTGGGCAGGGCGGGGGGTGTCCCAGGAGCACTGCAGCCCCCAGCAGGGGTGGAGGCCGAAAGGGCCTGCAGGGTGGGGTGAGGTCCTGCTGGAAGGCATGCAGCACCCCCGATGTGAGATCCAGGCTGGGGGCAGGGGGCTGCTGCCCGTGGAGATGGGAGGAGCACTGGATGGGGTGAGGGGCTCTGGGGATGGACTGCAGACCTGCGCCTGCACTCCTGCCAGGAATGATGCTGGGTGGTGGCTGTGGGCAGGAGCTGGCCCACTGGATCGTCCAAGGGCGCCCGGAGAAGGACATGTACGGCTACGACATCAGGTGAGCAGCCACCGGACCCGCAGGCACAAGGTGTCTGCTCTTCAGCAGCCCTAGGGCCGGGCGGAGGGGGGGTAAATAGCAAGGGCTACTTAGAAAGGAGGCGTCCCTGCAATTCAGAGGGCTTCCCGGAAGAGGCAGCCGCAAGGGCAGACAGGGAGGGAGGCTGCCAGCAGGGGGCAGTGCTGAGAGGCGCCTGGGTCTGGCAGACCCACTGCCCTTACAGTCTCCAGGATCTCTTGTCCTAGCGTCCTGCCTGACCCACCGGACAGCTCTGGGGTCAGCAGCAGGATCAAGTCCTCCTACTTGGCCAATGGAGAGACCGAGGCCCGGGGAGCAGGAGGGACTGCGCAGGCTGCTTGGGAGTGGGGCTGAGCTGGGGTGATTGCTATCAGCGTGTGTGCAGTGGCTGGGAGCCAGCCAGCCTTGAGTGGAGATGCCAGCTGCATTGCGTGCTCGCAGGGTGACCGGAATAAATGAGACCAACGCCGAGCAGTGTCCTCACTGTGACCTGGGTGCACGTGCTGTTTGGTGTGTGCCGATAAAGCCCTCGGCAACAGGTCCGCACACGGAAATGCTAACTAAACCTGAGTTGAGGCCAAGGGACAACAGTGTCAGAGCTGCGAGGCATCCTGGTTGCCCCACTGCTGTCAGAGTCCAGTCAGGGCCAGTGGCACAGGTGCTCCCAGGCAGGGCTGGAGGATGGGAATCCGGGGGCTGGAGTCTTGTCCCAGGTGGCAGTTGTGTGCAGGCAGCAGTCGAGGCAGCCCCTTACAGGGACCTCTGTGGTGTTCACCCCGCTCTGCCCTTCCCGCTTCTGGCAGACAGCCTCCCTGGGAGACCCCAGCTGTTGTTAGAACTGGAGGTGGTGGCGGGGGGCAAGTTCAGCTCAGCGTGTCCCTGTTCGTTTGCTAACTTCGCCCCTTCCTGGGCCTGATGAGGACATTACACCCACTGAGGGGGATGTCTGGCCCCCACAGAGACACACTGAGATGCCCAGATGGCCGCCCCCTCCATGGAGCCTGGCACAGCATGGTCTGCTCTGTGGCAGCCTGGAAGTCCCCCTGGGGCTGTGCCCATGTGCTGTCGCAAGAGAGGAATGTTCCAGAATGATAAAGCTGCAAGGGGCCTCAGGGATGGGCCAGTCCAAGCCCCTCCTGCTACAAACAGCAAAAAGGAGGTGCCAATGGGGGAGGCGACCTGGCCTGAAGTCACTCAGTGTGCCAGCCAGAGTGGGGAGGGAACCAGCTTCTGGTCTCGGGCTGGGCTGTCTGCGTGACCTGGCCACCCGTGGGGTGAAGGCTCCGCACTGGAATCAGACTGACTGGGGTTCACACCGGCCTCACCAGGTGGCCTGCTTCTGCCACAGTGTCCATGACGGCAAAATGGGGCTGTGGGCTGGCAGAGGTCTCCAGGCTGCTTGTGGAGCTCCTGCCCAGTTGGGGACAGGTCTGGGCCTCCTTCTGTCAGACACCTTCCCTGGCAGGACAGTTTCTTGGGCTGGTTTGTGGCTGGGAGACAGAGCTTCCACCTCTGTCACAGGCAGCAGAGACCTTGAGGTCATAGGCTGGGAGGCAGAGGGCACAGCTCTCAGAGAAGCCCCTGAGAGCTGGGGCCCAGTGGGCAGGGGTGGGGCAGTGAACTCATCCACACACCCTCCTGGCCGGGCAGTGCACCCTGGGAGATGACTGGCTAACGGCCTCCCAGGCCCGAGCGGTCACTGATGTGGGACTTCTGTACCACCCAGCCCGCGACCGGACAACTGGATGGCTGCCTGCACACACCCGGGCGCCCAGCACTAGTGAGCTGTCTCACCTCCCTGTACCTGAGCAAGGGGACAGAGCTGAGACACAGCCATTGCAGGAGAGGTGAAGCGGACATGAGGGGGCTTCTTAGGGGGATGCCACAAGTCTGAGAGAAGAAAGGGGCAGAGAAAGAGCTGGCGCCAAGGTGTAGCTTTCCTGCATCCAGTTTTCCTGGTGGATCACCTGCTTCTGCACCTCAGGAGGTCAGAGCAGGGAGTGGCCGTGCCATTCTCATCTCATACGTGTCATTCTCATCTCATACTCCGGGGGACAGGCTTGGTGAGGGAGGTGCCCAGACAGGCCGGCAGGCCAGGGCTGCACATGAGGCTCCCGGGGCCGACCTGGCACCAGCTGGCCTCCAGGCCACAGCCACCACCTCACGAGTGGCAGGGGTGACAAAGCAGGTGTGGCGCCCCCTTTGAGGTTCTCAGTCATCCCAGCCCTACAACCTATCAGCTGTGCGGCCCTCAGCCAGTCCCTCCTCCTCCCTGAGACTCAGTTTCCCCATCTGTGAAACAGGTGGCGTGCGTTTGAGGCTCACATGCGTGGACACTCCTCCCAGTGCCTGGCATGGGCAGGGCCCGGAGCGAGAGCCGCTGCTTTTAGGAAAAGTCCTCCGAGTCCAAATCCGGGTGACCAAGGGAGGGGGAGCCATTCCTTACGTGGGTGGCTCGACCCTGGCCCTGGCCTGGCCCCTCTGCCCGCTGCTTGCTCACGGGCAGAACATGGCAGCCAGGTCCCCGTGGGCCACAGGGAGCGGCCCATCCCCCTGCTGATCACTGTCGAGTTCCTGCTGAGCTGAGAGCATGCCCTGGATGGACGTGCCCAGCTGTGCGCAGAGGGGCTCCAGAGCCCTGGCCGGTGGGCGGGGGCCTGCCCAGAAGGGCGGTATCTGTGAGTGAAGGGACCCCCCAGCCGTGCCCCAGGCCCAGCCCCCTCTTCCATCACCCTCCTCAGCCCCACCACCCACCCGGCCTAAGATAACGAAAGAGTCCCTGAACCCCCGCCAGGATCCTCACTCTCAGAGCAGCTGGGAAGGTCACCATGTCCCATCCCCGAAAGCCGCGTCGGCTCCTGGTGCCCGGGGGGCGAGCCTGACCACGGAGTGGACAGAGCCGGCGGGGGGGCTCCTGGCTTCCTCGCTCCCCTGCTCGGCCCTCCAAGCCTGCCACGTGCTTCCAAACCCCACAGCCCGACATGGGCTCTGCCGCTGCCCCCGGCACCTCCCAGACCCCTTGGCCAGGCTCCACGGCTGCCGCTCCTGCAGTGTGTTCCGGAAGCTCCTGGCTCAGGGGAGTGCGGCACGGACGCAGGCTGGGGTTCCTCTGGTGTGGACCGAGTCACACCCTGGGCCCCATGTGTGGTCTCCCGTGTGAGGCCACACTGAGGAGTCGCAGGGGGCATTCCTGCAGGTGGCACTCGGCCTGGGCCTGCAGGCAAAGCGCTCCACAGATGGCAGCGGTTACTGGTGACTATGTCGGAGATAATCATTCCCGTAACATAGCTCCACTCCCCTGCCCAGGCCAGAAAATCATGCTTGCTAGAACTGTGTGCAAACTAAGAGTCTGAACCTGATGAGGTTCAGACAGGAACCACTGAGGACAGAAACACCGATGAGGACAAAGCTGGGGAGGAGGTGGCCTTGGGGAAGCAATGAGATGCCAGCAGGTGGAGCGGGAAGGAAGGGACAGGTGGGGAGGCTGGCTGAGCTGGGGTCTGCAGGGCCCCTGACACAGCTGGGTCGGTGTCTAACTCCAGCCCAGTGGCCGCGAACAGTCTGGCCGGGGCTTCCACGGCTGGCGCGAGACCAGATGGACAAGCCACTGGGTGGCTCCAGCCGCTGTGCCCACGGGAAGGCTGAGAAGGGCGTCGTCATGTGTGTGGGGGGTGGCAGGTGAGGAGGCTGAGCTCACCGAGGTCTGGGGGCTGCCCACAGTGGGAGAATGGAGGGCCAGGGGCTCCCTCAACCCCCCGCCCCTGATAGCTGAGCGTGGGGAAGACGCGGAGGGATGAAGATCTGGTTTTGCCCTGGGCCCCTGGCCGGCCCTTCCCTAACAGGCCCCCTAAGGCAGCGACTGGCCCTCCCTCTGTGACAGGCGCTTCCATCACTCGCTCACGGACCACCACCGCTGGGTTCGTGAACGCAGCCATGAGTCCTACGCCAAGAACTACTCCGTGGTCTTTCCCCACGACGAGCCCCTGGCAGGCCGCAACGTGAGGACAGACCCCCTGCATGAGGTACCTCACCCTGAGAGCACCCGCTCTGGTTGCTCTCGGGAAGTCCTGGGTCTCGGGGTGACAGAGTGTATGTGGTACCCCACCTGCGGGGCAGCTGAGGCGAGGAGGTGGCCCCTTCATTCCCAGGTGCTTACTCGCAGAAGGTGCCGGCCGACTGGCTCCCGGCGAGGGCCTCTTCTGGCTTTCCGACGGGGCCCTTGCTCTGGTCGCTCCTGTCTCCTTTCCCTGTGAGGATTAGGGCCCCCCCTTATGACCTCCTTTCATCCCCGTTCTCCCCTCATAGGCCCCTCTCCAAATACAGTCACACTGGGCTTAGGGCTCCCACACAGGAATCTGGGGGAGCAATTCAGTCCATAGCAGGAGGTAGTTCTACAGATGGGATTCTTGGGGGAAGGTGGGGAGGGGAGCGCCTGGGCTTGGGCCCCGGCTCTGAGCCCGAGGGCCTCTTTGCCATCTGCTCCCTCGAGTATAAAGCGGTACATTCGCTGCTCTCTGTCCTGTTTGGGTGTCTGGCCCAGCATGAAGGGGTGCCTGTCCTCCCACCCCACCAGGAGCTCCTTGCACGAGGCTGCGTGTTCCAGGAGCGGCACGGCTGGGAGCGGCCAGGGTGGTTTAACCCCGGAGGCGCAGCTCCGGTGAGTAGCCCCCCCAATGCCCACCACCCACCTCCAAGTCCTCCCCTCACCCCGTCTGTGCTGTGGGGTGGGTGAGTCGTCCTGCCCGTGGGTTCAGGGTGCCTCCTCTGTACACGTCCCCACAGGTGTGACTCACCACCCACAGGGCGGCCAGGCCTTCCATGGTCCAAATGGGCCCCTGGGGAAGCCGGTGTTCCACAGTGAGGAGGCAGCACACAGCACTCCCCAGTTTGTAGGAGAAATTAGAGCATCTTCTCATAATTTTGTTCATTTATTTTGGGCAACTGCAACTGTTAGTTTACATGAACAGGAGGATTTGGCATAAAATTATGCGTTCGATGTGTTAGTTTGTAGGCTGGGCTTTCACAGCATCCTGGCCTCTGGGTGCCCTCTCGGGGGGTCCTCGACCCCCCACCCCAGTGCCTCCAGGGACCTAGGCCCTCAGAGAGAAGAATCAAAACCATCCTGCTTCTGGCCCCCTCGGGCCGGGTCCTCAGGAGCAGGTGGCTTGATGCGTTAAGCCCAGCCAGGGCAGCATTTGATCCTGATTTGTGCAAATTAAGATCCCCTTCCCACTGCTGTATTCTGCCAGCCCCCTTCCAGCACACCCCATCTTCCATCTCCATAGCAACCTGTGTCCCAAGTCACGTTTCAGGCCACCATCAGGCGAGACAGGAGCAGAGCTCCCTAATAGCCTCTGCTGGGGTCAGTGTCCTCAGAATCCCACTGGCCACCATCCCCTCTCCTGCCGGCCTGCAGGGACCCGTGCTCCCCACGCAGGAGCCCAGAGCCTCTCTGAAGTGCAAACCACTGGCCGGGGGTCACCTGGGAGGACAGAGGCGGCAGGGCTTTGGAAGCCCAACAGGTGGAGCAGCTGTCCCCTTGAGGCTGAGAGGCTGGGGCCCAAAAGGGGCAGGGCTGGCAGGGAGGGTGGGCCTGGGCAGGCCCCGCCCTCAAGCAGGTCCCTGCAGGAGCCACTGCATTCCAAAGCTGGGTTTATCCCTGGAAGTCCTCCTTTCCTGGAAACCATGGGGAAGGAGAGGGGCCTAGAGCCAGAATTGGGGACACACCCTCGTCCCAAGATGAGCCGGCTTTGCACTCCGACCTGGGAGCCTTCCTGGGAGTTCAGGGCACTGGGTGACTATATGTCCCCCAAACCCCTGATACCCAACCTGGTTGTAGGGGCTGGGATGGCCTCAGGGGCCGGTGGGAGGCGCACCTGCTCAGGCCAGGGGGACCACTCCCTGCAGACTCTGGTAAGGGGACCTCCTGGGAGGCCAGGGCTTAAGTTGGCGCTGGGGCAGCAGAGTGCTGGACTCAGCCAGAACCTCACCCTGGGCTCTTATCTGTGACAACAGGCACGGCTGGGTGGGGCTGGCTGCACTGGGCGCCGGGAGGGGAGGCCAGAATCCACTGGCTGGCTCCCACCCCTCCCCGAGTGCCAGTGGCGTTAGGAGAAGGGGGAGGGGACGGACTGTATCAGCAGGAGCAGGGGCAGGTTGTGGGCATCTCTGAGATCGGCTGGCAGAGCACAGGAGAGGCCAAGGCGGATGGTGGCTGGGGAACCAGCCTCGGGCCACTCGCCGCCTGGGTTCGTGCCAGGCTATGTCCAGCTCTCGCCTGTGACCTGGGGCAAGTTTTAATCTCTGTGCCTCGGTTTCCTCATCCATAGAAAGGGTCCTCCTCCTTAGGAGAGGAGGGACTTCAAGCAGGGCTTGGCCCAGAGCAGGACCTGGTCCTGGATCACCATGGTAACCGGTGCTGCGCCATCCATTCCTTGTCCCTCTTCCCGAGCCAGCCCGTCCTGGGACGCATCACACTGCCTTGGCATTGAGCTGAAAGCCCTGCCGGTGGCCCTGAGGCCCCAGATGACCTGACCCGGCCTCCCCGTCTCTCCACTCCTTGAAGAGACCCAATTTCTTCTCCATCCTCCTGGGCCCCCTACCGGCTCAGCCCGCCCTCTCCACCGGCTCTCAGACCCACCACCACCATGGCGATTCATGCGTTGTTTGTGTGACTGTTGACGGAATGTCTGAGCACCGCCCCTGACCCGTGTCCACAGCACACTCACCCCCCGAGGGAAGCTCGGGCAGGGCAAGGCCAGATGTGTCTTGTGCATCTTTGGAGGGACCGGCGGCGATGACCTCACCTCCTTCCCCAGGTTCTCCATTACGACTACTACGGGGCTTACGGGAACCAGGCGCATGAGGACTATGCCTACAGCGGGCTGCTGACGGACGAGTACACCTTTGACTTCCCACCCCACCATGACGTGGTCAGTAGCGGCGTCCCCTCCCTTGCCTCCCCCATCCCTGATGTAAGAGAAAGTCGGGCTTCCCGCAGGCCTGGCCCGCTGTGGCCTGCAGCAGCTCCCGCCCCAGACTCTGCTGCTCCATCCTATCCCTCCCCCCGCCCTGCTGTGGGCCGACTCAGTTTTGAGGAGCAATCAGGTGATGCTGTCCTCCCCCCTCTCCCCCCATGCCCTCCCCACGCACTCTTCCCTCTGTACCAAGACTCTGCCAGCCGTTAGGCCCGAGGGCGATATCACTGCTCCAGGCAGCTGGACGGGGGTCTGGCTGTGTGGCCTCAGCCAGGGCCTCACTTCTCGGAGCCTCTGTCCCATCTGTACCCAGAGCCAGTGTGAGATTTTGTGAGTGATGACCCCTCCTTCCGGGCCTAGCTCGGTGGGCCCCCTCCACAGCTCTTCCAGACCCAGAACAGGCCCCTGCAGGGGACAAGCTGAGGACACCTGAGCTGGGGGAGGGTCTGTGGTCTGGGCCTGCTCACCGCTGCCCCTCCTGCTCCAGAAGTGGGCAGGTGAGGCTGGTCAGACCAGTCCCCTGGCAGCCCATTGCCGCTCACTGGAGTGCCCGGCTCCCCACACCCGTTGGGGTGGAGGTCATGAGGTCCTGGGGGCCGGGTCTTTTCCCCATGTTTGCACCAGACAGGGATGTTGTCACAGGCAGCTTGTGCAGAAAGAGCAACGCCAGCTTCATTGCCATTTTGTAAAGCGAATACCAAGTAGAACATTGCTGTATCCCTGTGCACGTGGCCGACTGGGGAGGTGGTGTGACGTCCCACTCATGTTCTGTGAGGGAGTGGAGTGAAGGCCTGAGCCTGTGGGTCCCCAGAGCCCAGGGTGGCCTGGGAAGCATCCTTGAGGCAGGGGGACCCTCGTGGTGCATGGGGGCAGTCGACAAGGCCAGCTTCCTGGGCCTCGCTCAGAAGTGCCTCGGGTTGGGTTTAATGCTCTGCTGTCAAGCCTTGAGTTTTGAACAAGGGCCCACAGTTTCGCTTTGCACTGGGCCTCACAGATTTTGCAGCTGGTCCCGAAGGGAAGGCACCATCACTCCCACAATTCTCCCAAAGCCGCTCCGGGGCGAAGTCCGGTTACAGGCCTTAGAAGAGGGGCTTCTGAAATGGAGCTGGAGGCACGCACTTCCAAGGCTCTGGCGGGGGGTGGGGGGGATGCGGGCAGCCCGGGGAACACACGGAGCTCTGTCTGGCACCTCCACCTGCGGAGCTTCCAAGGCCTATGGATGTTCTGGCCCGTGAAGATGTGGGAGCTTGGAGGGAATGCCAACTTGGCTTCGTAGCAAACACACCCCAACAGTCACCAAGTGTGAAACTCACACTGTTCCCAGCACTGGCAACTTCCCAGGCCCAAGGAGGTGAGAGTCACTGCAGGAAGCAGTTTTGGGGTTTGGTCTACACCCAGCCACAGAAGCAAGGGGAGTGCAGTGCTGGTCAGTGGTAGGCACTCCATGAAGCGTCTGTGACCTCAGGGGTGAGGCAGCGGTGCCCGGTGTGGGCATGGGCGGACCCAGTGGGAGCTGTTCCACTACCAGCAGCCCCGGGGAGCCTGATCTGTGGTGCTGGCCTTGCCCTGGTATAAATCCTCCCTGTCCACTCACTCCAATCCAGCCACATGGTATTCCTGAATGCAGGGCTGGGAGGAGAGACCCACAGCCACCTCTCGCGATTGGCGCCCCACTAGACAAATGTGGCGGAACGAATGGCTCTGCCTTTTCCCTCCTGTCTAGCCCTAAACACATCATGCACCCTCCCTGGGCCTCCGAGGGCACCTGAGCGTGAGGTTGCTGGTAATAGTTGCCTCATGGGCTGGTGGTGCATGTTCTGTGGGGGGCAGGAGAGGACACCGCTTCCTGACAAACACTCTGTGCTCAGTAAGTGGAGCTTTGCTGTTATACAATTTTTTCAGTAGTAACAGTGAGGTTGGCATGTCTGCCCAGCAGCTGGGTGCATTCAGAGCATCGGTGGAGAGACCCCAAAAGGGGGGCCAAGGAGGAAGGAAGGCTGGGTAATATAAGACCCTGGAAACCTGGCCAGCCATTTGTATTCCCTGTGGAGGGAAATAAGGAGCAATTTCCATTCTTTTTGTAAAAAATACAGCTTTCTTGAGATGTGATTTCCATACCATGCAATGCACCCATTTAAAGCGTGCGATTCGGTGTTTTAGAGTCTAGTTGTGCAATCACCACCACAGAATTAAGTTTAGAATATTTTGTCTCCCCGCACAAAAGAAAGCCCACGCCCACTAGGAATTACCCCTCATCCCCCCGTCCCCGCCCCCCACTTCCAGGCAGCTACTGATCTGCTTCCTGTCTCTACAGCTTTACCTGGTCTGCACATTTCCTATAAATGGAATCATACAATGTGTGGTCTTTTGTAACCGGCTTCTTTTATGTGGCATAATAATTCTAAGGTCAATCCATGTTATAGGGTGTATCAGGGCTTTGCCACCTCTTATTCTGAACAATATTCCGTCATGTGGACACACTACATTTTACTTATCCATTCAGCTGTTTGTGGGCATTTGAGTCGTTTTCATCTTTGGGCTGTTATAATAGTGCTGCTATGATCATGTGTGTGGACAAGGTTTTGTGTGGACATGTGTGTGTACTTCTCAGGGGGAGATACCTAGCAGTGGACTCGCTGGGTCCTGTGCTAACTCTGTTGAACATTTTGAGGACCTGCCAACAGTTTCCCAAAGTGACTGCACCACGTTACATCCCCCCAGCCGTGTGTGGGGTTCTGATGTCCTCACCAGCACTCGTCACTGTCTGAGTCCAGCCAGCCCAGTGGGGTGAAGCGGTGTCTCACTGCAGTTTTCATTTGCGTTCCCCTGATGACTAATGGTGTTGAGCACCTTTCCATGTGCTTATTGGACATTTGTATGTCTTCTTTGGAGCAATGTCTGTTGAGTCCTTGGCTTGTTTTTAAATCGAGTTATGTGTCTTTTTATTGAGTTATAAGAGTCCTTCCTATTTTCCGGACATAAGTCCCTTCTCAGATTTACGATTTGCAACTATTTTCTCCCATTCTGTGGTTTGTCCTTTCACTTCCTTGATTGTATTGTCAGCAGCACAAAACTTCTTAATTTTTTTTTTTAGATTTTACTGGGGAATTGGGGGAGGGGAACAGACGAGTTGCTGTCCTTTTGTTCTTCAGTCTAGTTGTGGAGGACGTTGCTTCACTGGCCCATGTTGGTATTGTGATCATCGCGCTCTTCCCAGGTGAGGCAGATTGGTCACCGACCATTGAACAGCCGCTCACGGCGGCTCTTGGCAGCTCACGCCAGCTGCCAGGCACTCACGGTAGCTCACAGCAGCCCACTGCAGCCTATGTTGTCGCCGGCGACTCACGGCAGCACAACTCCAGGTTGAGCTGTTGTTCATCTTAGCTGTAGAGGGCACAGCGTCACTGGCCCTCATGTGGGATCCAAACCGGGGCCCTGCTGCTCAGAGCTGTCATCCCAAGCCAGCTCTTAACCAACGCGCCACTCGGCTGGCCCCAAAAGTTCTTAATTTTGGTGACGTACAACTGGTGTGTATTTCTTTTGTCCTTGGTGCTTTTGGTGTCATGTTTAAGAAGGTGTTTCCTAACCCAAGGTCACGAAGATTTACTCCTATATTTTGTTCTAAGACCTTTATAGTTTTAGTTCTTATACTTCGGTCTGTGGTCCACTTTGATTATGTTCTGTGTACGGTGTGAGGAAGGAATCCAGCTTCTTTCTTTCTTTCGCACGTGGATACCCAGCTGTCCCGGCACCGTTTGTTGAAGATTCTTCTTTCCCCCACTGGCTCGCCTGGGCCCCCTTGCTGAAAATCAATTAAGCATAAATGTGAAGGTTTACTTCTGACCCTCAATTCTACCCCTCGGACCTACATGTCCGTCCTTAGGTTTTACCACTCCGTCTGGATTACAGTAGCTTTGTAGTGAGTTTTGAAATCAGGAAGTGTAAATCCTCCATATTTGTTCTTCATTTTTAAGATTGATTTGAATATCCTGGGCCCCTTGCATTTCCATATGAATGTTAGGGTCAGCTTGTCAATCTGCCAAGAAGCCAGCTGAGACTTCGATAGAGATGTGTTGAATCTGTAGATCAGTTTGGGGAGCGCTTTCACCTTAACAGCAGCTTTTGTTTTGTAAACATGGGATGTCTTTTCATTTGTTTAGGTCTTTAATTTCTTTCAAAAATATTTTCTACTTTTTAGAGTACAAGTACTTCTTTTGTTAAATTGATTTGTAAGCATTTAAAAATTCTTTTTGGTGTTTAAATGGAATTATTTTCTTAATTTAATTTTTTTTTTTAAAGATTGTATTGGGGAATTGGGGGAAGGGAACAGTGTTGGGGAATTGGGGAAGGGACCAGCCAAGTAGTTGTTCTTCAATCTTAGTTGTGGAGGGCGCCAGTCGCCGTCTGGCTGCCTGTTGGCAGCTTGTGGTCTCTAAGCTCAAGGTGCTGTGTTCAATTAGTTGAGGGTGGGCGTAGCCACCATCAAACAGGCAATCTTGTTGTTACACCAGCTGAGCCATCCTGCCACCTGTTGGCAGCTCAGCAACAGCGCAGCTCAGGCGCAGCGTCACTGGCCCATGTAGGAATCGAACCAGTGGCCCTGTTGCTCAGAGCTCGTAACCAACTGAGCCACTCGGCCGGCCCCTTAATTTCATGTTTGATTGTTCATTGCTAGTATATAGAACTACAGTAGTTTTTGGTTTGTTTGTTGTATATTGGCCTTGTACCCTACAGCTTATTGAACTATTGTTTTAGTTCTCTTAGTTTTTTAATGGGTTCTTTAGGGTTTTCTATATGTAAGATCATGTCATCTGCCAATAGAAGTAGCTTTGCTTCTTCTTGTCCAATCTGGATGCCTTTTATTTCTTCTTCTTGCCTAATTGCCCTGGTTAGGACCTCCAGTGCCGTGTTCAGAAGCTCGCAGAGCAGACAGACCCGTCTTGCTGTGGAGCTTGCGGGAGTGGGAGGCGAGGTGGGGGGAGGGGGACACCCAGTCTTTCTTCAGTAAGTGTAGTGTCAACTGTCGGGTTCCCGTGCACACCCTTTATGAGGTGGAGGACGTTCCCTTTTGCTCCTAACTTGCTTGGCGTTTTTATCATGAACAGGTGTTGGATTTTGTCAAACACGTTTTCCGCATGTATTGAGAAGATCATACGGTTTTTGTCCTTTGTTCTATTCACATGGCACATGACATCAATTGACTTCGGGCTGTTAACCAACCCCCATTCCCGGGATAAATCCCACTCGATTGTGGCGCGCGATCCTGTTTCTGTGTTGTTGGGTTTGGTTTGCTTGCCTTCTGTTGAGGGTGAGTCCATTTACATCGCTGAGGGATGTTGATCTGATGCTTTCTCATAATGTCTTTGTCTGATTTTGGCATCAGGGGTAACGCTGGCCTCATGGAAAGAGTGGGGCAGTGTTTCCTAGACTTCTCTTTTTTGACAGAGTTGTGAAGAATCGGTATTAATTCTTTGAATGTTGGGTGAAATTCACCAGTGAAGCCACCTGGCCTGGGGATTTTTTTTGTGGGGTGTTTAAAATGACTAATTCAATCTCTTTTTTGTTGTAAATCTATTCAGATTTTCTCTCTCTTCTTCAGTCAGTTTCAGCAATTGTGTCTTTCTAGGAATTTGTCCATTTCATGTTGAATTTGTTGGCAGAAAGTTGCTCATAGTGATCTATCATCCTTTTATTTTTGTAGGTGGATAGCGAAGTCCCCTCTTTTATCTCAGCATTTCAGTCCTCTCCTTTTTCTTTGTCCGTTTAGTTAAAGGTTTGCCAATGTTGTTGATCTTTTCAAAGAACAAATGTTTGCTTTTGCTGATTTTTTTTTCTATTCTCTATTTTATTTCCATTCTAATTTTTATTATTTCTTTCCTTCTCTTGCTCTGGGTTTAATTCTCTCTTCTTTTCTAGCTTCTCAAAGCGGAAAGTTAGGGTGCTGCTTGGAGAGCGTCCTCTCTAATACCGATGTTGGCAGGTATAAAGACCCCTGCGAGTGTTGCCTTAGCCCCAACCTGTCAGTTTTCTTTCTTTTTTTTGTTTTTTTTTAAAGATCTTTATTTAAAGCCCACTGCAGCCTATGTTGTCACCGGCGACTCACGGCAGCCCAGCTCCAGGTCGAGCTGTTGTTCATCTTAGCTGTAGAGGGTGCAGCGTCACTGGCCCTCATGTGGGATCTGAACCGATGCCCTGCTGCTCAGAGCTGGCGTCCCAAGCCAACTCTTAACTAACGCGCCACCCGGCCGGCCCCCAACCTGTCAGTTTTCATACGTCGTGTTTTTATTGTCATCCATCTTAAAGTGTTTTCTAATTCCCCTTGCGATTTTTTCCTTTGATCCAGTAGGAGTGTGTTGTTTAATTTCACAAATTGGTGAATTTTCCAATTTTCCTTCTGCTAGATTTCTGATTGCATTCCATTGTGGTCAAAGAACATACTGTGCATGATTTTAATCCTTCTGAATGCATCGAGCCTTGGTTTATGGCTTATGCTCTATCCTGGGGCTGTTCCCTGTGCTTAAGAACAATGTCACAGTGTCCCTGAGCTGGTGGAGAGGGAGGGGAGGCTCAGAGCCCCAGCACCCTGTGGTGCTGAGGGGGAGGCACATCTCAGAGCCCCCATGGCACCCACCCCCTGGAACCTTTCAGATCAAGCAGGAGTGCCTGGCCTGCAGAGGGGCCGCTGCCGTGTTCGACATGTCTTACTTTGGCAAGTTCTACCTGGTGGGCTTGGACGCAAGGAAGGCCGCCGACTGGCTGTTCTCCGCAGATGTCAGCCGACCCCCAGGTATGAGGCCCGGGCGGGCCATGGTCCTCTCATGCTCAGCACCAGGAAAAGCTCCGCGGGCACAGCTCCAGGCACTCAGACGAGGTGGCGTGCTGAGCCTGTCCCCTCTGGGCTCCCCCAGCACGTGGCTCTGCCCCTTGGTCTGACCCTGGGCCCCTCGGTCCAGATGCCTCTGCCCTTATCGCCAAGCCCCAGGCCCTAGGAGTGTACAACCTCCCCCACTTTCTTCTTCCCCCCTTTCCTGCCTTTGACCTTGTTCCGGGCAGCATCTGAGGCAGCAGGCCCTCACCCCACAGGAACGCTCTCCCCAAACAGGGCTTCCAGAATTAAATAAAAATGCAGAATTAAATTAAATAAAAGATGCTCAGTTAAATTTGCATTTCAGATAAAGAATGGATAATGTTTTAGTATAAGTATGTTTTATGCCATATTTGGGATCTTCATCTCCTGTTTTACTCCCCACCCACTCAGCATCTCACCCACCCATCCGCCTACTAAAAACTCACCATCTGTATTAGTTCCCTACGGCAGCTGTAACAAAGCACCCCAAGCTGGGTGGCTTTAAACAACCTACATGGTAGTCTTACGATTCTGGAGGCTGGAAGCCCAAAGGCAGAGTGTCATCAGGGCCGTACTGCGTCAGACACTCGGGGAGAATCCTTCCTGCCTTCCCCAGCTGCTGGCGGTGCGGCCACTCCTTCGTGCTCCTCCGCTCACAGCTGTGTCACTCCCGTCTGCCTCTCTGGTCACACAACACTCTCCTTGCACTTTCCTCTTCTTATAAGGACACCTGTCACATGGAACTGGGGCCCACCCTAGTGACCTCATCTTAACATGATCACATCTTCAAAGACCCTATTTCCACATAAGCTTATATTCACAGATATGGGGATTGGGACTTCATCGTACCTTTTTGGGGGGCACAGTTCAACCCATAACACCATCTATCCAGCCAACCAACCAACCCCCCTACCCACTTGCGCAGGTACCTCCCACTCATCTCCATGCATACACCCCAGCCTCCTCCCAGCCCCCACCACCTCCCAGCCCCCATCCACTCCTCCTACCCACCCACTTCTCCATCCATCTGTTCCCCTTTTGTCCATTGCCCCTCCCACCTATCTGTCCTCCACCCTCCCATCCATCCACCCCTCAACCCTGCACCCCCTGCAGCCACCTTCTCCTCCATGCCCCACCCCCATCCATCCGTCCATCCATCCATCCATCCATTCGTTTATTCAACAGACATTTATGGAGCTTCTGCTATGCCAGGCACGGTGCTCAGGGCACCACAGTGAACGAGATGTGACTCCTGCCCCTAAAACCTTGGCAGCGTGGTGGGTGGGTGGGGATGGGAGGAGAGGGGCGGGGGGGGGTCCATGTCCAGGCATTTCAAGGAGAAAGACGCCTCCTCCCTGGTCCTTCTCTGGTGATGGCAATGCTGGGTGACCTGCCCACCCCTTTCTGGGTCACTCAGTCGTGGTGGCATCACTGAGCTGAGGGGCCTTTCTAGGTCACCCCCATTGGGGCATCCTGCCAAGTGGTTATCCAAACTCATGTGTATTCCCCTGTGCTGAGTGCTCACAGCTCTGGGGCCAGCACAGACTGGGTCCCCCTCCTGCCCCAGGTTCAACGGTGTACACCTGTATGCTGAACCACCGCGGAGGCACCGAAAGCGACCTGACCGTCAGCCGCCTGACCCCCAACTCGCAGGCCTCCCCGCTGACCCCTGCCTTTGAAGGTAAGAGGTTCCCCAGAGGGCACGGCGAGGCTACGACTGCAGCCCTGCCCTGGTGACTGACCGGTGATCCCTGATAACAGGACAGGGATGGGCTGCCAAGCACCACCCAGGATCACCTGTTGTGCCCCCTGCGACCAGGGCCTGGGGGATTAGAGGTCTCGTTTCAGACTGAACACAGGTTTTGTTTGGGCAGCGATGCTGGAGCTGCGAGTACTCAGTAATTATGTCTTTGAACCTGCCCACACCGAGGCGTTTCAGAGATGCCTTGGCGTGGGTGTGCTCCGCTCTCCTGCTCGGAACAGAGAGCCAAGGAGAAGGCCAGGCCTCCCACTCAGAGAAGTTAGCGCTGTTCTGCCACGGACATGCTGGGTCGACTTTCTAGGTTCCACACAACTCCCAGCCCCTGGCCGGGGCATGTCTTTAGAAGACACCCAGCTCAGTGTCCCAGGAAGGGGCCCCACTGCTGCCTCTGGGAGATTGGATTTGCAGGGGAGAAAGGTGTTGACTGTGTGGCTGTCTGTGCCGCCAAACTGCCAGCTGGGGGAAGGGTCAGAGTCTGCCCATTCAGAACAGGGCCCCTGGCCGGGCTCAGTGCTGCTTGCAATTTTGCTGCTTCTTCAATGGGACTCAGTTGGGGCCCCTGGGGGGCTGAGCTCCTACCTGGACACTGAGAGAGGGAGGTGGAGCGAGAAAGAGGGGCTCATTAGTGAATCTGGTCATCTGTCTGAGAATTCAACAACAGCGCCTAAGCACCCCTGTGTGTCAGGCTCAGTGTGAGGCACCAAGGACATAGCAGTGACCCAGACAGTGAGGCTCTGGTCCATGCAGAGTTTACATTTCTGGTGGCGGCAGGGGTGGAGGGTCAAGTTTGCTGCACTGCCCATGGGGCTCTTTGGGGTCAATTTGGGGGCTGAGGGCAAGTGGGGACTCCTGGGCCTATGGGGTGGCCACTGAAATTACAGTGTCATAAGAGCAGTCCTGGCCGACTGGAGGCTGCTGGTGGAGATGAGGCTGTGAGCATCGGTGAGGGTCTTACTGGGGCATGTAGAGCTTGGGGGGCCCTAACCCTCCTGCCATGGGTGACATGGAAGCTAAGAAAGCAGTGTGCTCAGCCAGAGCCCATGTGCATAGCTAATGAATGGATTCATTCACTCATTTATTCCATCCACCATCCTTGATCAAATGCAAATCGCCACTTCCTCTTGGCTTCACGGTGATCCGATGTAACAGGTATAATTGACATGTGTATGAAATACATGCATATTTAACTGACATGCATATTCAGAGCAGGAACCATACAGCTTATAAAGCTGCAAACAAAACCAAATCTGTGCACTGTTTTCTCATGTTGGGTGATGTCCCCAGGACCCTTAGCCCACTCCACAGGGCCTCCTGGGATGACGTGACTCAGGTGTCACTGTGCCTTCGTCACAGCACTTACACTGACAGGTCAGATGCCCACCACGCCCACCACGTGCCTCCCTGAGCCTCAGTTTCCCCACCTGGGGAACAGGGATCTGCTAGTCCCCCCTCACAAGGGGAACTTGTCATGGAAGCACTTCGTAACTTAGCCAGCCCACGGGTGGCCCTTACTGTTTTCCTGGTAGTTCTGGTGGATTCCTGGCCCCTCGATTTGAGAGGTGTTTTTCCCAGATGCTGAGGCCTCTGAATCAGATTAAATAACTGCTGGGTGGGAGGTTTGCACATGGCGATTTGCATTTGATCAAGGTTGTGTACGAAGCAGTTGTCAGTCTGAAATGCAATTTTGAAGCATCTTTCATATCACAAGAGATATGAATATATGCCCATGGGGAACATCTGGCAACTCTGGAAAGCACAAAATAAAGTCCAGAGCCCACAGTGCCCAGCCCGCCCAGAGCCGCTGGAGTCTCCGCCCTCTCTGGGTTTTTTTGATGAGCGGTAGCTGCCCGAAGCAGGCCAGGTCCACCAGCGTCCAGCCCCAACCAGTCCTGATGTGGGCAAGGCGGGGAGACCGGGGTGTGGGAATGTGGAGAGAAACGAGCGCTGGTGAGGACTTGAGGCTCGGAGGGGCAGAGACTTGTCCACGGCCGCCCAGCACTGGCCGAGGTGGCACACAGGCTCCCCCGTGGCATGATGGTGTTGCATCTTACGAAAAGTGGAGACACCAGGAAAGGGCTCCCTTGGCATGTTCTGCCTCAGGGGATCCCACACTCCGGCCCCCTCCCCCAGGGAAGGACCCACATTTTGTCCTGTGTGCAGTGAGAATCTGGGGCCCTGGGGAGGGTCACTACGCTCTAGCTGTGTCTTCACTTTCAAGCAAAGAGCAGTTGTTTTCTCAACCCAGAGGCCTCAGGCCGCCCTCGCTGCCCCGCCTGTCCGTCTGGCCATCCAGCCTAAGTCTGGTGCTTCCTCTTCCAGGGGACGGCTACTACCTGGCTGTGGGCGGGGCTGTGGCCCAGCACAACTGGTCCCACATCACCACCGTGCTGCAGGACCACAAGTTCCAGTGCCAGCTCATCGACAGCTCGGAAGACCTGGGCATGATCAGTATCCAGGGCCCAGCCAGGTGAGGAGAGGGCGGGGAGCCGAGCACCTGGGCACACCTGGGCTCACCTGGGCTCACCTGGGCTCACCTGGGCACACTTGGGCTCACCTGGGCTCACCTGGGCACACCTGGGCACACCTGGGCACTCTTGGGCCCTGGACCCTAGTCTCCCCAACTGGGGCTTGCTGGTCCAGAATGGGACGTTCTGGTTAACTAGACAATCTGGTGAACCCAGAGATGCCATGCTGGGTCAATCATTTTCAAGCGCTAACGTGCAGAAAAACCCTTAATAGGAGAATCAGACTGAACCTCACAGTGAATCAGCGTCTGAGGACTCAGTGGTCACAGAAGGGCCCGTGAGGGGTCTCTGGATGGTTGATACAGTCTAGGAATTACGTATGCCCTCTGTAAGTGGGCAGGGCCAGGCTGGGGTTCTACCTGCTCTCTGGGCTGAGAATAACACCCTACACTGAGGAGCCACTGTCCCCTTTCTAAACACCTCTGATGACTAGGCCTGGGCTGGCTCATTCAGTGGGGGCCGACCTCCCCCTAGGCTGAGCTGTAGCTGTTTGTGGGCACCGCCCAGGGGCACAGGGCAGACGCACAGTACGCGCATGCTGAGCAAACAAGTAGAATCCGAGAGGGTCATGTACGTTAACTGCCAAGTGTTTGACTTCAGGCTGCCATGGAGACCCACAGGGGTCATTGGGGCAAAGCCGTGGAGGAAGAGAGATCAAGCTTTGGCGCTCTCTGGAGTGGCGGTGTCCCAGGCAGAGGAATAGCAGGTGGACAGTCCCTGTGGCACCTGGATGCCCTTGTGGGGGGAGCAGGCGGGGAGGAGGAGGCGTGGGCAGAAGGCATGGAGGCGCTAACCCGCAGGTCTGGAGGCTGCTCCTCAGGTTGAGGGAGACCGAGCAGAGGAAGGACACCGGGGGCTTGGCCTGTAATGGGGTCTCTGGTGCTGGGCCAGGGGGTGGGAGGCCAGCAGGTGTGTGAGGGGCCTCAGGGGCAGGTGGAGGAGGGATTTTGAGGAGGGCATGATGCGCTCGCTGGTCAATGGGTCAAGTGGGACGACCACTGAGAGTTGGCTGTTGGGTTTGGCAACTCAGGGTCCCGGTGAACTTGCCGGCAGTCATTTGAGGGACCGCTGGGTGGGGGTGTGAGAAAGGATAGAAGGAGGGGTGAGCGTGGAGAGGAGCAGAGGGCAGGCTGCAGCGAGAGGGCACGGGGCGGGTCTGTGGGACAGTGCCGGGACCACTGGCCCAGCGCCCACAGGCAGGAAGCCCCCATCCTGGGGGACGGGCTCCATTTCTGCCCTGGGTGAGCCCGCCCTCCACATCACGCGGGTGAGTGGGGGTGGGGGTCCTGGCCCGAAGCTCTCGGGAAGCCTGGGGCTTCATCGCCATGGTGACCTTGGACAGGGAGTGACTACTTCTAGTGTGGGGGAGGTGGCTGGGCAGGGGAGGGATGGGCCAGGCTCATGCAGGTCCCTGTAAGCTGCTCCAGGTGGGCGTGAGTGACAAGTGACGGCTGCGCCGCCCGCCTCCTCCTGGTAATTTCTTACTTTTCTCCTCTACAGTGGCCTCTCTGTGTAAAAAATAACCCAAAGCTTCTTGTATGAACACTGATGTTCCCACTACCACCGATTAGGGCTAAACTTTCTGAGTTCTGTGAGAAGCATTTGGGGGTGCCGTATGACCGGCCGGCCGATAGAACTTTCTAGAAACATTCCATAATTGGGTGGGCCGGTACGGTAGCCACTAAGTGCATGTGACCACTAAGCCCTTAAAATGTGGCTGGTGTGACTGAATTTTTTACTTTAATTAGCTTAAACTCAAGTGGTCACACGTGGCTGGCAGACGTGGCAAGGAAGTAAATATCACTGTCCAGTAATGATCAATACCGAGGTGCTTGGCATGTGTTTTCTCGTTCATTCCTCACAAGGGCCCTGTGAGGTGGCGTCACTGTCCCTGTGGAGCAGATGGGGGTACTGAGGCTAGGTGGGGGCAGGGAGGGGGTGAGTAGAGGAGCAGGGATTTGAACCTGGGTCTCTGGCCTAGAGCCTGTGCCCTCTGACGCCCCCTGCTGGCATCCCCAGGGAAGGCCGGCCTCTTGCTCCTGGGACCTGTACTCTGTTGCCCTTCCTCGCCACTGGGTATGGGCTGGATCGGTGCCAGGAGCTGGGGCATCCCTGGCACAGCTGAGCCCCTTCAAACCCTGGGCCCTGTGGGGAAGGCCCCGGAGCAGCCCTGGCCCCAACTGCCCTGGGGGCTGCAGACAGGACGTGCTCAGTGAGCGCAGGGTCTGGGTTCTCCAGGCTGACACCACATGGGTGCCCGGGAGGTGCTATAGAAGCATCTTGGCCAACTACAGCATGCTGGGCACCTCAGGCTGGGGGGCAGGCAGTTCCCAGCACCATGGGGGTGGGGATTAGCCCCAATACCCTTGGGACTCCTGTGGGACAGAAGTGGGGGGCCATCTCCTGCCAATGGGGGAGTTCACCCCATAGTGCAAAGCCAGGCTGTTCTCAGTCAATTTACCAAGTGCCTTCTCTGTGCCAGGCACGTCAGGACAGGGGCCCTGTTGGCTCGGAACTCCTGGTATAGTGGGGGTACAATCGGTGTGGGGCACCCTGGCGGGGGTGCACCTGACCCAGGGAGTCAGGGGGGACCTCCTGGAGGAGGTGTCAGCCAAGCCAATACCTGGAGGGTGACAAAGGGCTAACAGGATCAGGAGAAGTGTGTGGGAAGGCAGAAGGTGCAGGAGGGGTGCTCTAGGCCAGGAGGGAGGCTAGAGTGCAAGGTGCCCAGCAAGTGAAGGTTTCCATGGACACGGTGAGGTCTCGGGCAGTCCATCAAGTGTGAGAGCCAGACCGCCGGTCACCATGGGGCAGGGGAGGTGAAGAGTGGGGCCCCTGTACAGGGAGCTTGTTCACCGGCCTCTGTGGGATTGGGGGAGGCGGGTGGTTAGATGGCCAGGTAACTGCCTGAGCCGCAGCTCAGCCATCTGAGAAGGAACCCTGCTGGAGCTCGTCTGTAGGTCTGGCCTCCACCCAGGGCCTGCTGCTCCGGTCATGGTGTCCGCCGAGGGTGGCTTTCTTTTCTGACTGTGTGTTTGGTGTATATTTGCCCTGGTGTGCTTTCATTAATACCATGTCTGTTGTCGGTCTGCCTCATGAGGACAGGGGTTTGTCCTCCTCACTGCTGTGTCCCCAGTGTCTTTCCTTCCCAGAGCACACACCCAGGGGTGCTCATTAGGTGCTTGTTGACTGACTGACTGACCAACTTTGTTTTTGCTCACAGCCGGGCCATTCTCCAGGAGGTGCTGGATGCAGACCTGAGCAATGAGGCCTTCCCTTTCTCTACCCACAAGGTGGTGAGCGCCGCTGGGCACCTGGTGAGTTCCAGCCATCCCCTGGTTGTGGGTGGTAGCCGCGTGCTGCAAGGGAACAAACATGGGACTCTGACCTGGGAGCCCATTGGGCAGGCCCGTTTACCTCCCTGGGCCTCAGTCCCCGCTGTGAAGTAGAGAACAGATGGTCTTGCCCACAGGCTGGCAGGACCTCCAAGGGGCAACAGGCCTAAGCCAGGCTTCGCTGAGCTCCGCCCGGGGCCTGGCACACTGGGGGGCTCAGTCCCAAGCTTCTACCAGGAAGGCAGCCTCAGCCCTGCCACCTGCCCAGCCGCCCACGGTGTCCGTCTCCTCAGAGGCACAGGGCACACCCTCCCAAGTCAGGGTGACGCATTATTTCTCCTGCCTCCTTGGAAATGACAGGGCTGGAGACAGCTGAGCGATTATGCTGCTCCGGTAGGTCTACGTGTCGTCTGAAGTGACACTTGTCCTCTGGGTGTGTGTTCCTACCTCTGCCCACCTGGCATTTCGTGTGGGAGGAGGAGGGGCTGCTAGTCCCTGAGGAGCACCCCCACCCCACCCCCAGCTCCGGGAAGTCCAGGTCCCCGGACCTGAAGCTTCTGAGACTGGAAACAGTGTCAGGGCGCCACCAGACCCGGCTTCCTCAGAGACCCTGGGGCAGGGGTCCCAGTCCAGCTCTCGGTCAGCACGTCCCTGTCCTGGGCCTCAGTGTCCTGGTAGGAAATTAAGGACCGTGATCTCTGCTCTGACTTCCTCAGGCTGAGGGGAGGAGCAGACGGTAAGAGTAACATCAGCCACTGGTTGCCAGGGGCTCCCTGGGCACCAGTTGCACATGGCACCATGTGTTGTACCCCTGACCCTCGCAGCCGTGTGGGAGGGTCTGTCACAGGCTTCATGGCCTCAGCACTTCTGACATTTTGGAAGATATTCTGGGGGGGCTGCCATGGGTGTTGTAGGGTTTTAGCAGTATCCCTGGCATCCACCCACTCGATGCCAGGAACACCCCCAGTTGTGTCAATCAAAAATGTGCCCGGACATGGAGTGAGTGTCCCCAGGGGACAGAATCACCGGTGGAGAGCCACTGCTGTGTGATCACCCCTGTTGGCCGGGGTTGCAGTATCAGCAGCAGCAGTCACAGCCAGGTCCTTGTTACCCTGGAGGATGAATATTTCCCTGACCTGAATTTAGAGAGGTTGGGTGGGCTCCCCGAGTCCCCCCAGTCACTGAAACATTAAAGCACACAAATACGCGTCATAAAGCAGATGCGGCCATAAGGACGGGGTGGGCAGACAGACAGCCCTTTGCCGCGAACTACGCGTTAATCTGGGGGTTTGGATGGGGCGAGTGTGAGGGGATGTTGGTGGGGAGCCATCCTGGCCTGCAGAGGGTCTGGAGGTCCGCGGAGTCTGGGTCCTGTTAGCAAATAAACAACATTGCGATGACACGGCAAGGAGGCTGCCAGGGAGAAACTGAGATAAAGGCGGCTCTGGGAGCCGAGGAGGGCTGGCCGAGGAGGGCTGGCCGGGCTCGGCTCCTGCCTTCGCTCTCCGGAGGCCACGCTGGGGGAGCAGGAAGCCGGGGCGGCGGGGAGGGGGTCTCTGTCTAGCTTGCTTCCTGCCTCCTTGGTGCAAAGCTGCCTGCTGGGACCAGAGAGGGTGGGCGCTTTGAGAGAGCAGCACAGCTCAACCCCAAGACATGGTGGCACCCAGCCTGCCCCAGCCGCAGTTCAGGACCCCTCGGTCCCCATGGGGTCCATGCAGCATTCAGCCTTGTCTGGGACGGGGTTTTGATTTGAGCTGCGAGGCTTGGCGTCTGCTCACTCCGTGTGTGGTTCGGGGGATTGTGGGGGAGAGGACCAGGTGGGAACACTTCCGCCCTCAGCCAGGCTGCTCTGATGAGGCACCTGGGACTTGTTCTTGGACAGCGGGGCTCCAGCTGCCTCCCCGGCCCCGGAGGGGGGAGGGGGAGAAGCGGGGGCGACCCTGGCTGCCTCCCCAGGCCCCACCTTGGCCTGCGGCGCCCAGGAGCTGGGCTGGTGGAAGCAGAGGCCAGACTTCAGGATGAGTCTCTCCCCAGGGTAACAGGCGGGCAGACACGGGTGAGGGCGCCGGTGGACGCCGGGCGGGGGGAGGGGGGAGGACATGTGGGGGTTCTTCCTCACTGTTGCCTCCAGGACGACGGGCTTACCAGTTTTGTCAAAAAGCATTTTACTGCTGTGTAAATGAGCACACACCACTCTCTTTCCAACTGTAACTGCGTAGCTTGGGGCTAAGGGCGCCCGGCTTGGGCGCAACCTCGCTCGGGCACACCCTCTTTCTCAGCTTGGCACAGGGGACGGTCCCAGGAGATGCAGGCGCCAAGCTCGCCTGCCGTCTGGCTGCAGGGAGGGTGCGCAGTGGCGTTTCACTGTGAATCTCAGGAGCGCTGGGGAAACAAGGACAAGTCAATGGACCCCTAATCGCACCCCAAGAGGATGACACGGGTCACAAAGTTCTCCCTTCTCCTCCTTTCCCAAATCTCTGTCTACGGATTTTAAAACAGAACCAGGGTCACCCCACGGTGCTCCTTCTGGGGCTCTGATTGTTGACCTGACGTTCCTCAGAACCAGGACCCAGAGAGCGGGCTCTCAGGGACACGGGCCCGGCTGGCCTTCCGGGTCGCTCTGCAGTGGGCGCCTACCCATCGTTTGGTGTTTTCTGTCTCCTCTCCACGCCCAGTGCTGTCCTGGGCCTTTGGGGGAGGGGCGGACGGAAGCGGGGAGCTTCCCAGCGGTCCTGGCCTGTGGAGACCAGCACCGTCTGCTCATAATCAGCCAGCCTGGGTTCTCCGTGAATTCTGGCGTTTTATTCTGTACTGAAGGATCTGTTCCCAATGCTGAGCTTTCTCCCTGCTCCCCACCCTGGCTCTGGAATGAATGCCAGGTGCCAGGCACCGAGCTGGATGGGGGGCTCTTGGACGGAAGATGCGGCTGGGGGCTGGGAAGGAGGCTGCAGCCACAGCCCAGCCTGTGTTGGAGAGACGCCCGGCTGGGGAGTGATGGCGTCCCCACGGAGCTGACATGGAAAGGAGGAGGGTCCCAGGAACGCATGTAGGAGGGAGAGTAAAGTCTTGGCAAGAGGTGTGAGAGAAAGACAGGTGACGGAGTGACCACGTGACATGGGCCTCTGGGCTGGGGAGTAAAGTGTGCCTGTGCCAGGAGGGGGGCCTCTGCCCTAGGACTGCTCGCAGGGGACAGTTGGTAAGCCAGGGGCCCGAAGCAACTGGCCCCACCGCCTCATCCAGCATCCCACCCCTTTTCCCATGGGCTCCCCATCCCTCTGCCTCCTGGCCCCTCGTCAGGACTAAAGGAACAGGTGCCGTGGGCTGGCCGGCAGACATTTCTTCCTTCCCACAGTCTCAGCCAGAAGTTCATCCCAAGGTTCCTGGACGGGGACAATGACAGCCAGTGCCAAGGGCCAAGGGGATACTGCCTTGCCCATTTCAAAGACCAGCTGACCTCAGAACACACAGATTTAATATCATTGGGGCTAAATGCTGGTCCTGTGAGGTCACTGACGTGCCCAAGGTGGGAGCTGGGTCAGCACAGAATCCAAGGGCTCGCAGAGCAGGGAGCCGGCAGGCCTGGCATCTCGCCCTGCCCCGGACTTCTGTGGGGGTGCCTACCCGGGCCTCAGTTTCCCCATCGGTAGCAGCAAGGCTAGACGATGTCTCAAGTGCATCCCGTAGGTCTGTGCAGACACCCTGAATTCTCCTGGATCCAGGGGGGATTTCATATTCTCCTAAATGAGATCTCGTCTTGGCCTCAGCACATGCTGACGCCATGTCCCTCAATGTGAAGAGACGCTGGGGCCGGGGCGCCGGGCTGGGCCAAGTATTTATGGGAGATAATTGGATCCCAGCCAACCAGATGCGGGAGAGGAATGTGTGCCTGTGTAGTCGGCAGGCCTCCTGGGCGCAGTGCACGGAGCGGTGAGGGCCGGAGCCCAGAGCTGCATCCGGGGCCCAAAGGCAGGTAGGCGGGAACCTGCCGCTGCCCACCGGGACCCACGCTCAGGGCAAACAGATGGGTGGGCGACCCTGGCTGAGCGACGCCCCCAGCTGAGCAGTGTCCCCAGCTGAGCAGTGTCATTGTTTTGCAATAATTCTCTGAGATGTTTGGATCAGCCCCAGGCTTCCATGATCCTTGCATTCCTAGAGGAAGAACAGGGGGCGGGGAGAAGCTGTCCCCACGGCAGCCAACTGACCAGATGTCCCTGCCTCCCACGTGTTGGCCTCAAGGCCAGCGAGCTTCCCAGTGGGAAGCGCTCTCCTGGTGTGGTTACTGGGCAGACGTGGTGTTCCTAGGGCCTCGGTGAGGACAGGGCCCCCTCTGGAAAGTAGCAGGTGCCAGTCCAGAAGCTCAGTGTGAGACATGGTGACAAAGTGATTTTCTTCTGAAAATTAATTGCAGATCAAAAGGAAATGTAATTTCTTTTCCTGACAGTGTGAAGCCCTCGCTGTAGATTCGATCATTTCAGGGTGGAACGTTCTCCCACCCGCACGCATTCTGCAGACAGTCAGAGGCTCCGTGGCCAGAGGCCCGACCTCCGCAGATACTGCATTTGCCAGTTGAGTTTTAGCAGCCGCCTAAAAATCACTGTGTACAATCTGTGCAAATTTGTCATGGCCCTGGGGAGCCGGGGTAGGGAGGTATGAGCAGGGTCCACGGATGCAGCTGAGAAACCTGCAGCCACTCTTCAAGGTGTCCCGTGGTGGGCAGTGACGTCTTCTTGCTGTGAGTGTACGGACAAGGTGTGGCTGGAATGAGGTCCGTGGTGCTGAGGGACCCTGGGATGAGTGCATCAGAGATTCCAGGATTTCTTCCAAGGCAGACTCCATCCTTTCTCTGCAGGGAATCCTGGAAGCCTGTTTCTGAGGCCCCTGACGTTGTCTGTGGGTGCAGACAGGGTCTTTTTTTTGCGGGAGAGGTGATCCATAGCTTCCATTAGCAGCTTGAAATCTGCAGCTCAGGTCTTCCCAGAGAG